TCGTCTTATTTAACGGCAGGTTTCATATAGGGTCTCTATAAGTCGAGCATTGGTTGATGAGTTATGCATTTAAATAGCCATATATATTCCTAGACGGACTGACTAGAAATTTAGCCATGGGTTCCGGTTTGATAAACTATATCTATGAAGTTGGTTTTCTAATATTTGCAAATGCAACAAAAGTCTTTTCACTTTTATTATCCAACATATTTATTTGTATTCTTTCAATTTAATCGAGAACCTTTTCTACTTTTGTGCCTGTTTTTGTCGTCTTCGGTTTTTTTGAAATTATGCAAATTCAATTTTGAGACATTTCCGGTTTGGCACGCGAACAGCAGTCCGCCTGCCACGCCCCTTCTGCCTAACAAGTGGAGGATTTTGAAGTCGCAACGAGCTAGAATTAGATTATATGTAAACACATATATATCTTTTACTATTCCACGGAGATATAACCTAGTAAAGAGCTCTTCAACTATTTGACTTTATGATTAATGTTCAAATGTCATGTGAGAATTTTAACAGCTCGGATTCGAAATGTTTAATTTATTAGCGGATATTACATTTATTACTAATCTGACATGCGCCGCGAAATAGGTTTTTATATATATTTTGCACTTTATCAGGCGCTTTGTGCACATGACAACATTTAACTGTATGTTAAACAGCCAATTCGAGCGCGCTTTTAATTTGCATTATTTTTTAAAGGGTTTGTCCAGTGAATAACTGACAATAGAAATTTATTCAAGTGGCAGCTGTCTACAATTGATTGAATACAAAAATCTTGCAGAGATAAAGGATGAAGATATAGATAGATGGATAGAGAGAAAAGAAATAAAAGCTTTACTTCATATTTACATATAAATATGTAAAAATAAAATAAAGAAATATTTATTTATATTTATTGTTATATTTGATCTAGAAATTCTTCAAATATTCGAATTCTCATAGTTTTTTGATTTCAATATGTTTTAACAGCCGCTCAACAGTGGTTTGTGTCCCGGCTAACAGCGCAATGCGCCACGCTAAACAGAGATAGCAACAGACAGCTCAATGCGTTAGAGCCGCACAACCAGCTTTCTTCAAGCGGCATTTTCGCTGCGTTAGAGCGAGACAGCAGCAGTGTCCTGCTTGCTGCAGGGGAAACTGGCTTTATGTACAAGCCCGAATGCTGATTGGTTGCAGCGAATTGCCTATATACATCAAGTCAAGGCAAATTGAGGCCCCAACACATCAACACACGAACACACACACACAGTACACGGATGTGGGTGCCCGTTGGCCGGGAGCGCGTTTCATTTCGCACAAATCCATCATCGTCAACAGACGTGGCGACTCGATAAGGCGCAGGACAAAAAATAAGAAGCACAGTTTAAATTGACAGCCAGGCGACTAACTGCTAGTTAAGATACAATTCGATAAGAGAAAAATCGCTTTAAAATCGCAGCAAAGAAAAAACAGGCAAAATCCGCATAAAATGCTGCCCCTTTTTACCCTGTGGGGAGGGTTGCGAGTAATTTTTTGAGAGCCAGTTCATAGATTATTTATGAACTCTGATGGAACTCTGATGGGAGGCTCACAAATTGCAGGGTGTGAATAATGCGTATTACCAATTATTGGATTACATATTGAGGTTTCTTTAACATAACCCAAGCAGAGGGTGGCAGCATTTTATAACGGCATGTGCAACGCGTTCTATATCCAACATTTAGCATAAGGGTCTGAAGAAAGGATTGAAAATTTGTTTAGTTTCTTTGACCAGACTCAGAAATTGAGAGCTTCATTATAGTCATCAGAATCTCATCGAAATCGGACAACTATATACTATATACTATATTTCCATTGGGCTTTTAGTATGTTAGTTTATTTATTTTTTTTTTTTTCTCAAGATCCTTCACTGTCAATTGTTTTCAAGTGTATTCAGCCCTAGTATATTTTTTTTTTTGCAAACAAATTCCTTCTTTTTTTTTGCGAACACAAACTAGATAGTGTTTGATTTGATTTTCGTTGGTTTCGGATCATTTGACTCCAGTCTTTGGTTGTGCTGGCAATGGATATTTGATTGGCTCATGGTAGCACAGGTTGGTGCCCTCGTCCATCGAGATGCGGGTGACATTGCTGGTCCTGGGCGACTCCTTGTAGTTGATGACCTTGACGTTGGCCGACTTTTCCGATCCAACCGAAACTCTATGCATGCTCTGCTTGCCCTTGAGAGAGGATCTCCTTCTCATATGCATCACCGAGGTCTGGTGGGTCCGCCTCAGTTTGTTCAGCTCGAACAGGCTGGAGGGCTTGCTCATGGCCTTGGCGGCACGCCGCTCGGCAGACAGCCGACGCCAGGTTTGGACCAGTTCCCGGATGCTCTGCTCACTGCTCTCCGCATGGATCGATTTGTGGCGTCTCGGTTGCTCCACTACTGGAATTTTATATTTCTTTGACAGGCTCATTTTGGCTTTGCACTCGGAACGTACACTCACAATTTAGCTGGGACCATATTTCACGACACATACGCAAATTTTAGGATTTTCTCTTTTTTTTTTTTTTACTTTCACATGATTTCAGTCAGTAAAAAAACTGCTGCGAGGGAATTTGATATGACAAACAAAGACTTAGTTGTTTTTTTGAGACAGTTTAACCTGGTTAAGGCCATACCCTGTAATCCAAATCGTAACGCGTAACAAACAGAAGAAAGCTCAGCAAGAATGGCCGAGTCGATCTGGCCGTCTGTCTGTCATGGAAGAGGATAGTTCAGAGTATCCCCTAGTCGGATACTCCCGATTAAAGCACTCTTTTCATTTATTTTAATAGCTTTTCTCTTTGAAGAAGGCATTCAAGCTCACTTTGAAACAGACAATTGCAGCTAGAGTTGAACCGGCGACCTCTCGCTTGCTAGTTCGACGCTTAGACAAACAGGCTCATGATGTCATACAATTTCGACCATCATTCCCCCTCTAGAGCCTTAAATTATCCAAAGCCCCGTTTTGGTGCGATCTTTCGACTCCAAAGAAAACTATAGAAAGGATTTCTTTTCTTCTTTCTTTGCGTTAGGTCACCTTTTGGTCATCCAATCAGACACAACAATCACTATTTTATGTTATATTTAGATAGAATTTACAGATGAAGACTGTGTTAAGCCCAAAGTTATTGCAATTTAAGTAGTTTGTCATTTTCTTGCTAAGAAATAGTTGTGTTTTTGATGTCCATACAATATGCTGAAGATGCAGATGCCGATTAACTGAACATATTAAAACCGAATGATTTATCTGATAAAATTTTGCCTAACCACAAGTTAAAATTGGTGCGCCCTTAGACCGAATCTTTTGTGGAATTGAAACGAACACGAATTGGCTCATGGAAGCAGATCTCTGCGCCCTGATTCGGACTGCTGATCCGTGTGGCTGTCATGCTTTGGCTGCGACCTCTTGGGACAGCGGCTTCGTGCGTGGTTAACTGCGGCTCTTCCACGAGAGATGTGCTCCTCTTTCGGATAGTCGATGACTTCCGCTTTGATGCTCTCTTCGAGCGCCTGTGCGTGTACTCCGTGTAGTCCACACTGTTGGAGCTGACTCCGGCTCGTCTGGCATCTTCCGCACGTCGAGTGGATGCCGCCATTTGCCACTGACGGGCCCTGTCCTTGAGGATCTGCTGGGCCTTGTCATTGCTCATATTGCGACTCTAATTGCATTTGAACAAAAGCGCACCTATACAATACAACAAATTTGGGATGATATCTTGCCATGGAAGCCAATAACCATGGCAACAACCGAACGCTCCTATTGAAACTAAATCCCCCACAAATAGACATTCCAGGCATATGTTACTATGTCTGAGTCCTAGGTGTGCCGTATTATATATATATGCAACTACGTGCTTATTCGTTATCACATTTCAACTGCATTTAAATATATTCTTATATCTATAGATGTATGTTAATATAAAAATATCTACTTACCTTTAATTTCACATGCGCCCCATTATTTAATTGATAGAATTTCATACATGCACATAACTGAAAATAACAAGAGAGAGAAAAAAAGCTGGTTTAAATTATAGCAAGAAAATGAAACATATAAAATGAGAGAGAAAAAGGGAAAACGCGATAAATGAATTGTATGTTAGAATAGAGTGTGAAATACGTGTTGAAAGAAATATGCCTTAAAGCCTTAATTGTACTTATGAGAATCAAGAAGAAGAGCGCTACCTACAAATACGATTCTAATTTCAGTTGCAGCAATGTGGAAAGTTAAACATTTTAAATATATAATAACATACAACTACATATGTGCATACATACCTATAAGTAGATATATACGGACAGATATATGCATACCTACATACGTACATACATGCGCAAATACATACATACAGTTATACAAACATGCATGGATGCATATAACATGCATGCATAACGTACCATATATACAATGTCATACATGTTACATACATACATATAACACGCATAAAAACATACATGCACACATACATAATTATTCATTATTGATTAGGCATACATACGTAGATATCCACATAGATGCGCACATGCATACATGTATTCATGCATGCACGCATATATGCACGCACCCGTATATGCATACCAGCATGCATGTATGCACATATGCATACATATGTACATGGATGCATGCATATATGCTCACATGCGTACATGCGTACACACATACATGCATTCACACATGCATGCATGTTTACATACATTACATACATATATGCTTACATTACATAACTTAAATACATTCATTTAGTAATACATGCAAGCCCACACACATAAATACATACATGCACACAAACATGCAAGGCAAATGGTCGCATTATCGAAATATCTGCTACTTTAAGCTTTAAAACTTAATAACTATCGATACTTTACCATTAGCATTTACATTAGTCAACACTTTCATTAAAGCCTATCGAAATTAATCAACACTTTTTGTAAGAATCTGTCATTAAGCAAACTTATGTCGAATTGCAAGAAGGAGCTAAAGTCTCAGTAACTGAGAGTTATTCAAAGCAAGCAGATGGAATTGTGGAGTTGGTGGAAAAAGTGAAAAATAAAGTGTTCAAAAGAAAGAGAATTTGTGAAAGAACTTTAAAAGGGTTAAGAATAAATAAACTTTGATGGAAACTTAAGAAAACTTAAAGGTAAAATAGAAAAGATCTTTGGGGAATAATAGAAATAAATACTTAATGCCTAGATAATTCCCATTCGAATCGTTAAAAGGTTAAGTTCTTGTGAATATAAAACTCTTGTACTTATTATAATTAATAAATTAATAATTACATATTTAAACATCTCGTTAGGGCGTTTAGTTCTCAGAAATATTGTTCCTGTTGTTGTTTTAGTTTCTTGCCATATCGAGAACTAGATCCGACTCTGGTACCATAAATGAATTCCTTGGGCACGGCTCGCGGCGAGCTGCTGTTCAATGCGAACCACAGCGAACTAGTTCCGCCAGGGCCTCAGGAGCAGCAGCAGCAGCAGCAGCAGCAGCAGCTGCTGTCCGTTTCTCCTGAGCTAGTTTCTTGCATCGGCAACGGAACTGGGGATGGCTCGGATGCGGTCAAAGAGCCAGCTGCCACTCCGGCGGCTGAGGACGATGCACAAATCGATGCCAGGCTGCAGGAGGAGCTCGACTCGCTGCCCATGGTGGAGCCGGAGCCCGAAACGGAGCCCGTGACACGCCCCCAGCTGCCGCCCACCCTGCCGTACAGGCCGCAACCCCAACTCCTGCACCACCAACAGCATCTGCAGCAGCAGCAGCAGCAGGGAACGCCGCCGGCGCGAGTGTTCTACAAGGCGCGCACCGTGCAGGAGGCATCCAAGTTCTCGATCCAAATTCCGCCCGAGGCACCGGCCGGCACAGTTAAGCTAATGCCCACCACGAACTATGCAACCATGCAACTAAAGATGCAACAATCGCAGGTTCGAATCGCATCGCATCTGGGCCAGCATCCGTACAAGATGATGGTGACGAGCACGCAGGATCGATACCGGAGCACGCAGGGCGGCAGGATGTTTATGCCAGCTGGGACTCAGCCGAGCCAGAACCAGAACCAGGGCGCCTTTCCCAAGACCCTGACCGACTTCATCAAGTCGAAGAGCAGCTTTGTGACGGGCCAGACGCAGATGCGTGGCGTCCTGCCCAACCAGCTGCCGAGGCCGACGCTGTGCCAAATGAAGCTGCCCCTGAAACCCGACCTGAACAATCCGATGTTGCGGCCGCAGGGCGTGCTGGTACGACGGGAGCTGCCGCAAATGCCAGCACCGCTCGAGGATGACGAGGTGGACTTCGAGGAGATCGGTGTGGCCGATACCTACTCCTCGTACTGGCCAAGCAAGCTGAAGGGCGGCAGCCGGCATCCCGATCCGGTCGTCGAAACGGCCACCCTCTCCTCCGTCGAGCTGCCGGACATCACGTACGAGCTGGCGCTGCCGGACAAGGTGAAGAACTCGGATCGCCTTAGTGCTCTGCAGCTGGAGGCGGTCACCTATGCCTGCCAGGCGCACGAGCAGCTGCTGCCTAGCGGCCAGCGTGCCGGCTTCCTGCTTGGCGATGGCGCCGGTGTCGGCAAAGGCCGCACCGTGGCGGCCATCATCTTCGAGAACTATCTGCGTGGTCGCAAGCGTGCCCTGTGGATATCCGTATCCAACGACTTGAAGTTCGATGCGGAGCGCGATCTGCTAGACATAGGCGCCAGCAAGCACCTCAAGGTGGCCTCGATGAGCAAGTTCAAGTACAGCCGTATCAGCTCCGAGGAGAACGAGTACTTCAAGCGCGGCGTCATCTTCTGCACGTACACGGCGCTCATTGGCGAGTCTGCGAATGCCAATCCCAAGTACAATACGCGTCTGCGTCAGCTGATCAACTGGCTGGGCACCGATTTCGATGGGGTCATCGTGCTCGACGAGTGCCACAAGGCGAAGAACCTAAGTCTGATGAATGCCGGCAAGTCCACCAAGACGGGCACCACAGTTCTCGAGCTGCAGCAGCTGCTGCCCATGGCTCGGGTGGTCTATGCCTCGGCGACGGGCGCTTCGGAGCCAAGGAACATGGCGTATATGGTGCGGCTGGGGCTGTGGGGTCCCGGCACCTCCTACTCGGAATTCTTCAAGTTTGTCAATACCGTGGAGAAGCGCGGCATTGGCGCCATGGAGATTGTTGCGATGGACATGAAGCTGCGCGGTTCGTATATTGCCCGCCAGCTAAGCTTCAAGGATGTCAGCTTTCGCATTGAGGAGGTGCCCATGTCGCGGGACTTCCACAAGCTCTACAATCACTCCGCCGAGCTCTGGGCCGAGATCAACGAGAAGTTCCTCAAGGCCTGCCGCCTGATGTGCATCGAGAACCGGGTCCAGAAGATCATCACGTGCCAATTCTGGTCGGCGCATCAGCGCTTCTTCAAGAACCTCTGCATTGCCTCCAAGGTCAATCATGTGGTCAAGATGGTGCGCGAGGCGGCACGCCAGGGCAAGGCCGTGGTCATTGGCCTGCAGTCGACCGGGGAGTCGCGCACTCTGGAGCACCTGGAGCTGTATCAGGGTGAGCTGACCAATTTTGTGTCCACCTCGAAAATGATAATTCAATCCTTTGTGGAGAAATACTTTCCGGCACCGACGCGTGAGTCGCTCTACAAGCTGCTCAACACGGGCACCTTTGAGCCGGAGGCGCGTGCCAAGTCCGGCTGTGCGAAGCGGCCGCGCATGATCTCCGAATGGTCCGACGACGACATGGACGCGGATGGTGGCGACAGCGACATCGACCTGTGCGACAATAGCTGGAATGCCGATGCCGATGACGATGAGGACCGCCTCAAGTCGGGACGCAAGCGGCGCGGTCGTCCGCCCAAGCCGGACAAGGGTAAGCTCCGGGTGCTGCTTCTGCTAGCCCAGATCAGAGAACAGCTCATCAGTCCAATATTTACGCAGTGGAAAAGATCACCATGCAGGATCGCATCCTGCAGCATTTGTGCAACAACATGAACGCCAAGCACGAGGAGGAGGATCCCAACTTCGATTCCGCCAAGCCGCAAACAGCCAAGATCACGGAACGCGATGTGGAGCGCTGCATAACGGTGCGCGAGAAACTGCTGGACAAGATCGAGCATCTGGGACGTCGCATGCCGCCCAACACGCTCGACAAGATCATCTCCAAGCTGGGCACCAAGGTGGTCGCCGAGATGACTGGCCGGCGCGGCCGTGTGATCAAGACAGACGAGAACACGTACAAGTACGAGCAGCGCGGCGAAGCGGAGACGACCATGGATCTGGTCAACTACATGGAAAAGCAGCGCTTCATGGAGGACAGCAAGCATGTGGCCATCATATCGGAGGCCGCATCCAGCGGCATCTCGCTGCAGAGCGATAGACGCCTCAGCATACAGCGACGGCGACTGCACATCACGCTGGAGCTGCCCTGGAGCGCGGATCGGGCCATACAGCAGTTCGGCCGCACGCATCGCTCCAACCAGGCGAATGCGCCGGAGTACGTGTTCCTCATCTCCGATCTGGGCGGCGAGAGTCGCTTTGCGGCGACGGTGGCCAAGCGCCTGGAGAGCCTGGGCGCGCTCACCCAGGGCGATCGTCGGGCCACCGATGCCCGCGATCTCTCGAAGTTCAACATTGACAACAACATCGGACGCAGCGCGCTGGAGAGCGTGCTGCAGCAGATCACCGGCGAGAAGCCGCTGGAGACCATCCACATACCCGAGTCGTACAAGGGCGACTTCAGCTTCGACTGCTGCGTGGCGCTCTCCGGCGTGGGCATGCTCAGTGTCTCCGAGGACAACAAGGGCCATCAGATCTTCGTCATCGAGAAGGACAGCAATAACATACCCAAGTTTCTCAATCGCATTCTCGGCTGTCGCGTCGAGGTGCAGAACGCCCTCTTCAAGTTCTTCCTCAACAAGATGTACTCCCTAATTCTGCAGATGAAGCGCTCGGGTCACTTTGATCTGGGCATTCTCGACCTGGACGCGCACGGCGCCAACGTGACCGCCATCAAGCTGATACGCTTCATCAGAAAGCATGCCACGGGCACAGCTGCCACCGAGCTGCACACGATGCAGGTGGTGCGCGGCATGTCCTACGACCTGGCGCTAGCCAAGTGAGTAAATTGCCAGGTTCCAGGCTAAAGCCAGGGCTGCAAACATTCGAGGATCCGGTTCACGAACCAATTCCTGTGAACCAGATATTCCACATTAGATAAACTAGGTTTCCGGTTAGGTTCATCATATTCCAAGTATGAAAATTAACCCATTTCGTTTAAGGATACGGCATGAACTACTTGACAGCTTTAGGTTCGTGAACCAAATTCAACAAAACCGGTTTTGGTTCAAGTTCGGGTTTCGTTCATGAACCAGATTTTCCACATTTATCAAACCAGGTTTAAATTCAAGTCCATCCAATTTCTAGTTGAACATAAACCCATTTTGGTTCAGGATTCGATTTGAATCATTTCCCCCATCCTTCGTGAACCACATTCATTGAATCCTGTTTTGTAGTTTTCCCAGTTTTATATTACGGCCTTGAGCTCGCCGTTTCGCAGCCCTGGTTCGAACTCTCTCGCTGCTAACTTCCTCTTCCACTCCCCTCAGATACAACAAGGAGGCGCGCCAGGAGCACGAGGGTTTCTACACGTTCAAGCAGGAGCGCAACAACAACAATTGTGCCATCCTCTGCCTGAATGCGCAGCCGGACACAGCGGCGACAACCGATCCCAGCAAGCTGAACATGAAGATCTATCGGCCCAATACGGGGCCGCAGGTGCGCACCGAGACGCTCAGCTCGATTGGCAATCGGTATGTGAAGGCCTCGCCGGAGGCAGTGCAGCAATTCTGGGACATGCAGTACAATCAGTGCCTGCGCATGTGCTCGCACATCTATTGGAATCGCCGCTGTCCCTTCGGCATCAAGTGCGGTGTGGGCCTCCGTGTGCGCACCTACCATGTGCTGTCCGGCCTGATGCTGCCCATTTGGGATCGCATCGCGCTGATCATCGAGAAGGACGGCCGCAAGATCCAAATGATACGCGTCAAGACCGATGAGAACAAGAAAATTGTCGGCACCGTGGTGCCAGAAGGTGTCTACCATCAGCTGGTGGCCGATCTGTCCTCCGATTCTATTGTCGAGAGCAAGGATTTCAGTGTCAACAAGGAATAAGATTATGTACAAAAGGTCATCTTATATCTAAGCTTAAGTGTAAACAGGATATCTTTTGTATAGTTCAATAAAGTTGCTCTCAATGGAAAGTTCTTGGTCTTGAAATAAGATTTCTTGTGGAAATAGAGAAAAGATTTCAATAAAGAAATTTCCATTTCAGACTTATTTTTTTTCGAGATATTCCAATTTTAAAATCAAATCTTTAAGATAATATAGATTATTATATAGATATTTTTTAGTTTAAGTTAAATGAAATGAAATGAAAGTTAAAGTTTAAATGAAATTATGATGCACATGCATAACCATATTAACATTTACATTTTATTTCAAGAGTTAAACAAATCTTTTATTTTCTGCTCTTTAATACTTTTATATTTTGTTTTTCATATAGGTTTTTTTTTGTAGTTTTTTTTTGTTTTTTGATTGCATTCAAAATTGGAAAAACTCACAAGATTACGAAACTTATAAATAGTTTATAATTTAATTGTTGTTGCCAAATAAGAAGTACAACCTAAACATAGTTTAGCTGTTAGATAGCCTTAGATACACGTACAAATTAACTCTGATCTCTGTTCCATTTCACTGTTTAGATATTTGCAAGTTTTGTGGGTTTTTTCGAATTTATCCTATTAATATAATAGACATAAAACTGAATATTAAATAGAGCGCAAGGTGGACAAAAACTGTTCCTGTGTTCATATAAATTGCATTGCATATAAAAATAGAAACTCTAATTCTCAACTGGTTTTGGCGCGTGCCAAAACAAAGCACTTCCGCCGTTGCTTTTGTATATAGTTTGGCTTAGCTTCTGTTTTGCTATGTTGCCTTTTTCTCGATATGCTCTCGCCTCTCTCTCTCTCTCTCTCTTCTCTGTCTTAAACGTTTCGACATGCACTCGATTTGTCTTCTTCCCTTTTTTAAACGTTTCGATATGCATTCGACTCTCGCCTCTCTCTCTCTTCTCTTTCTTAAACGTTTCGTTATGCACTCACCTTTCACTCGCTTTTTATCTCCTTCTCCCTCTTCGATTCATTCTTAAAGGTTTCGCTGTCGCTGTGGGCCCACATCCATTGTGTTGGGCCTTTGTAGGCACTTTACGTGTTTTTCAAACAGAAAAGTTTCCGAAATGAAGCGAAACGTATTGTAAATTGTATTTCTAATAACTGGAGTTTGTCATGCCTCATGAATGTGTTGCTCGATATGTGGGCGGGTTGCGTGCTCCCAATATCGTGCTCTAAGTACGATACGAATTTTTGTTTTCCTTATTTTTGTTTCCTCTCCATGTTGTGTCATGAACTCTTGACCTTCCGCTCTCTTTTCTTCCTGTACTTGCTAAAGTTGAGCTTAAACTTGTGTTTTTTTTTGCACTTAATTTTAAACGCTTCCTCGTAAAAATATGTTTGTAAGAACCGCAATCAAACTCTTAAGATAAACACGAAACAATCCATCAAATCAAATCAAAATCTATGTGGGATATATCTTAAGCAGGCCGTTTCGCACATTTAAAAATAAAAAAAAAAACTAAGTGCCTCCGTTTTGTAAAAGACAAAAAACACACACGAAAAAAAATTCTAACTGCTGCAAGACGCGCGCACGCGCGCGTATTTAAACGCAAAACGCGTTCGAAGCGCGTGCGAAACGCGTCTGAAACGCGCCGTGGCCGCCTCATTGCCGGGTTCCACTTTGAGGTCGCCCGAATGTCAGGCTGCTTGTCGCCTGCGCTGGCACCTAACTGGCTGTTAGATTGCTTAACGATACTCGTCTTAAGTAAATTATTTGTTGTTGCCTACATAAAAACGTGCGCGCGTTTCGCATGCTGCGAAAAACGCGCAGCACGCGCCGCTCAAATCGGAGGCGGGCCGCGTATATAGCGCAGCTGAGGCGTAAAACTCATGGACAGATTGTTGAGATTGTCGCAGCAGTTGGGCTGCATCATGCAGGCGGCGCAGAAGAACGTGAACAGCGCCAGCTGCATGGGCACCGCTGCCCTCGCGATGCGCCACGCCCAGCCACGACGCTTCTTGGAAGCGCCATCGGCATCCTCATCCTCCCCGGAGCTGTCCAGCAATGCGGCGGCTGGCTCCTCGGGCGGATCGTCATCCCCACCACCACCACCGCCGCCGGCAGCGACAATGCGCTGCAGCTGCTCGACAACCTGCTGCTCCTGTTCCTTGCGGAGAGCACGCTGCTCCGGCTGCTCCACGTTTTGCTCAGCAGCGATTTGACGCGTTTTGCGCGCGTTTCTGCGTTTAGGCGACTGCGTTTGGGATTTGCCAGCCAGCTGCTTGGCATGGCCATTGGCCAGCTGCTCCTTTTGCTTCTCCTGCTGCTGCTGTTTCTGCTGGTGCGAGGCGGCGGTGCGCACAATCAAATCGCGGCAGGTGTTCTGCAGCTGCTTCAGCTCCGCCTCGGCACTTTCCATGCGTGCTGCAATGGAGCGCATGGCAGCGCTGCCCGGCGCCAAGGCCAGCTCCAGCTGCTTGGCCAGGCGACGCAGCACGCCCAGGCGTCGTTCACGCTCGGACAGGCCGCCATCGGAGGTGGCACCGCCGTCCGAGATGCCCGAGTCGGAGAGCGAGCCGTTCGAGGCGGTAAACTTGGCAATGTGATAGATATGATTGGGATCGAGATGCTGCTGCACGGCGAGCAGCTGCTCCTGGCTAACGTTGACCTTCTCAGAGAGCAGCTTGGCCACCAGCTTGACGTTCTGGGCCAGCTCGACAGGCGTCGCCTGTCCCTTGTCCAGAGCGCCCTCCAGGCCCTTGAGTGTGCCGCGATCCTGGCCCAGGGCCAGGTGAAACTCGCTCAGCCCGCACTCGAGCTGGCGCCAGGCAATCAATGAATTTGTGAGCATCTCCAGCTGCGAATTGATTCTGCGAATTGGAGCATGAAATTAGTGAACGGGTAAGGAACATTGATATCGATTTGCTTACCTTGCATCTGCCTCGTCCCAGGCGCTGTACATGTCGCTGACCTCATCCTTGAGATGCTTGTGGAACTCCTGCTCGGCGCTCATCAGGCTGGACACATCGCAGGTGCCCGTAGAGGCTTCCACCACCTGGTTGCCATTGCTGTCAGTTACAGTGATGGCCACCACGCCGCCGCCTCCAGCAGGCTTCAGCTCTGCCGGCTGCTGCTGCTCGTGCTCCTGCTCCTTTTTCTGATGAAGTTGTTCGGACTCCTGTTGCAGCTGCTGCTGCAGCTGCTCCTGTTGTAGACGTCGCTCCTGGCGCGTCAACCAGCTGTGCACCGAGGCGTTCAGGCGCAGCATGTTGGTGCGATAGCTGCTTAGCTGTGTCTGCTCGAGCTGCAGTTGGAAGGAAAGCGCGCATGGTTATGGTCAGCTGCTTCATGCTAATTGGAGTTAACTCACCTTTAAGGCCTCGACGGCTACCTGTATGGCTGGCTCTGTGTCGAGCAGCTCCGGCGTGGACTTATCGCCCAAGCGGCGCAGCGTGTGCTTCAATGCGCTCATCTCCTGCTGCAGCTTGCGTGCGCTCGCCGCATTCTCGCTCCAGTTAAGCAGATCCTCCCAAGCAGCCAATAGATCTGCAATATAAGTAGAAAAAAATAAATTAGAGTCAGAGAAAGCTAAGCTTGATAATTGGCGCACTTTGCTTTGGATTCGGTTTGTGGATAACTTGTAGATTTCTTTGCGAATTGGCAGCCCTTTGCATGCCTTTCCCTTTCCCTTGGCGCGGCCAACGCCAAGGCAAAGTGAAACTTTTATTTGTTTACCAAGCCGAAAAAAACAAAATAAAGCAAAAAACTTTTCCACTAAGCGCTAGAGTGGAACAACAGGGGAAAATGTGTGTGTGTAATGTGAAACTGTGAACGTGTGGGAGACAGCAATTTTTGCAATTGCAACAAAAATGGGCTTTAAGTGCAGTCCAGGCGACGCCCCATAGAATAGAAGCTGTTATACCCTGTAGTCTGTTAGTTGGATGCAAGGGGTAGTTGAGTTAACAATTCATGCAGTTCAGCTAAATATTAACAGAGTAAAGCTCAACATTACACTTGATTAAACCAGTTGCTCAGCAAGGTGGATTTTCAACCAATTCCACCAACAAGCGTGAAAAACTGGTGAAAACTTAAAATTGCCGAAACTTTGGTGATCCACTTCGTGTAAAATTATTACTTGAGTTATTCGAGCAAGACTACAGTAGAAAACGCTGGCTTTAAAACTATTTGCAAAGCTTTACAGTAAAGTTCGTGACAGGCGATCAATTTTAGAAAATCCACAAAAAAGAGTGAAAACGGTGAGAAATTTAAGTGGAAAACCATCAAATCAAAACTTTACGTAAAAGTTCAAGAATTACGATGGAATTTTCAATTTCGAAAATTCAAAAATAGGGTGAGAAATTTAAAGTTCAAGTCATTAGCAAGTAAATCCACAAGTAAATGTGAAAAATAGGTGAGAAACTGTTAGTTTGAAATAGGAAGATAAATACTTAAAGCCAATTTGTTTCACAATTCCCAACTTGATTTAATCATTACAAGAGTTCTTAGAAAGCAGCACGTACAGGGTATTGTTCAGTCACAATGCTAGTTGAATTTGTATAATAAACTGGTGGGCAGAAACCTAAACTTGACACGCGTTTGTTTGGATAGAATCAAACGCTGGGCGAACTTGCTTTGTTAAAATAAACTTTGTGTGGGGCAGGGCAGAAAATAGATGCCACAAAGCTGCTTGCGGCCAGAACTTACCCGAGATAAATAAAAGATTGCGATAATCAGAAATAGTTTTGAGTGCAACCGACTCGTAGCAAGGCTGCGGCACAACTAAGCGGCTTGTGGCTGGGTTAATTGAATTGTAAATACGTCGATTACTTTCACCCAAACGCAGCAGGTGGATGCGATTGAGCCTGAGTTTGGCAATAATAATCAAACGCACTCAGATTGGCAGCCAGCGCACGTAGCACTCACTACGCAATACACCACGACGACGACGACGACGCACATGGAAGAGGACCAGGTCCAAAACACAAACCGAACTTGTTGGCAGCCAAACTGAAACTGGTTGACTGAACTTGTGCCTCTCCAGCTGCCAGCTGCCAGCTGCCAGCTTGCAGCGAGCCAAGCCCACAACAGCAGCAGCAACAAATCGCAGCAACTCGAGCGCAACAAAACGATCGAGCAACAGGCGCACAGTGGTGCGAAAGTTAAAGAAACTTGTTTGTAAAGTGAAACAAATTGAGTGAAGCTTTGATATGTGGATACTATATAGTATATATATATATACATATATTTATACATAACAGCCCTTCGATAACTGAAATCGATAACAGCAATCGATAACAATAATCGACACACACAATCGATATATACAATCGATAACCATAATCGATATCACGCAACTAAAATCTCTGTTTTCATATGCCTTATACTGATTTTTCAGCCAAAATATAAATTTCCTTATTATCCAACACAAGCTCCTGTTGCTTTCAGTCCACTGTGCGACACTTCCTTAGAAATCTCGCAGATTATTGCGCCCAGTGCATTAGATGCTCTGCCTGTTTGATGGTGCGTGGCATTGTGGGACATCATCTACGCACTTTGCAGCCAACGAAAACTCGTAATCTTACGCGGATTGCACAACGCTCTGGTCCAGTCGGGTTTTCTACAGGCTAAGCGGGGAAGGGGAGTCCCGGCAGGTGGACATTATCAGGCAACAACCCCACGCCTTGTGCCATGATTTGCACACTTAAACCCAAACGTGGGGCGTGGCAGGGCGGGGGGCTGGCGAGTGAAACGCTCGATCATCATAATAGCTTGAGGTTGTATTTAAGCTCTCGGCTGGATAGCTGAAGCTGGCTTAAAGACTGCACATAAAATTGATTAGCAATTTGCAGAAATGGAAATTGTTTAGCAGCGACTTTCACTTTAATCAGCAATTAGTAAATTAATTGCCAATCACCCGAGATTGCCACAGTTAGGCATTTTGAATTGCATTCAAATTGAATTCTAATCGCGCAAGAGAAATGCTCATAAGGCAAACATATCTCTTCCGCGATCAGCTTAGCTCAGTCGCGGGTTTTCTTTGTTTTCTGCTGACTTTGCCAAGTGAAATTGTTTACATTTCGTCACGCAGCTAAAAAAAAAAACACACTGAAAAAATGCAAATGCAGCCACAAACTGTTTTTTTTTTTTTTTGTTTTTAAATGCAACAACAACTGAGCGAGAATCCGATGACCCAAGGGCATTGACGTGCGCTCACAACTTGGCAAAAAAAAAAACGAAAAACGCGATAAAAAGAAAAATCGCATTCTCGCAAATTTATTATGTGGGTGTTGCTCGGTGGGAGGTGTTGACATGCCTACGTATTTACACACACACACACTCAACACAAACACACACCCACACTCTCAAACACACACACACACACACACACACACACATGTCGTGTGCAGCTGTCAGAGAACTCAACAGACACGCTTTCTAAATCATTTCCAAAATCTTTCTATCTGTCTCTTAACCTCTTTCTCTTGCCGCAATACTCTGTTTTAGAATTTAATTAAGTCTTTTCTCTTTCTTCCACACTTACTCTATCTCGCTCACTCATTCTCTTTCTCCCTCACTTGCATTGTCCATCTCTCTCTTTCTCTAGATCTCTGACATATTGCCTCTCTTTCCCTGACTTACTCTGGCTCGCTCTTTCAGACTCTGACTTTTTTTCTCTCTTGCTCTTTCTTTCCCTCTCTGACACATTCTCTATCCTCCTCTACCTACCCACCTTAACTCGCTCTCACTCTTTCTCTCTGTTCCTCAATCTCACTGCCTCTCTCTAACATAGTCGCTAGCTCTTTCCTATCTGTCTCTCCTCCTTTCTCTCCCTCTCTCTCTCTCTCTCTCTCTCTCTCTCTCTCTCTGCCACACTAAGCCCTCTCTCTCTCTCTCTCTGAAACACTCTTTAGCTCTCTCTCTCTCTCTCTCTCTCTCTCTCTCTCTCTCTCACTCTGTCACACTCTTTAGCTCTCTCGCTGACACGCTCTCCAGCTCTCTACCTCTCCCTTCCCTACGACACACTATATTTCGCTCGTGTTCTCTCTCTCTCTCTCTCTCTCTCTCTCCATTTCAGCAGCTTTACCCGATTTGTTGTAAGGAAATCGAGAATCGCAAAGGCTTAAGGAACTGCCTGTGCGTGTCAAGGACTCATAAACCAAACGCGAATGCGACAAAACAAGGGGTGTGGCAGCAGAGAAGGCGGCACGATTCTTGTCTCTTTACAAAACATATTTACTTAGTAATAGAGAAACGAGCCAAATAAAGCGGGTGAGGTAAGCGCCAGAGTTGCCAGCCACCAGAAAAGTATTTATATGGAGTCAACAAGAGTTCAGAGTCAGAAGTTCACAAAGCGCGCGCGGACTCATCAAATATTTGCCAAAAATAATCGTGAATAATTATGCGAGACAAGCAGCAGCAGCAGCAACAACAACAAACGATGACAACAATTATAAACAATTAGCAAAAAAAAATATTTAATAAAAAAAGAGAAAAAATTGTGGCCAAAAATAAATAGCTTAGCAAACTTTTGCATATTTCTGAAAATGAGATTAGCGCGCGAGCTAGAAATATGCGAAATATGAAATGAGTAAAAATTAATGAGATTAGCGCAAAGCTGCGAAATATTTGCTAAAGAGTCGTTAGCCCCGGGCAGGTTTCGTATTAAATAATAATTAACTATGGCTAACAATTTTAATTAGTCCAAATAGAATTTGTTTTAAAATTTCAAAAATAATTTTAAGCTGTGTAATTTTTGTACTAATTTTCTGTTTTTTAATGAAAACAAGAATTCTAGCTTAATTCTCAAGGCTCATTCACAATTTCTGTACTCTTTAGCGCTTCGTATCCCCGTTTTCTCTCTCTCCCTCTCTCTCTCTCTTAATGCTCTCTCTCTCCCTCTCTGTTTTGATTTAATATAACAAATGAAGTTATCAAATTTCTCTCCCTACTTTCCCCTTTTCTTTCTCATTTAATCATATATAAAAAATCTAGTTCTATACAAGCACAATTCCTATTCTCTTTTTTTCTCTCTCTATCTCTCTCTCTCTCACACACACTCTCTCTATCTCTCTCTCTCTCTCTCTCTCTCTCTCTCTCTCTCTTTAATTCTCCCCTCTCTTTTTGTTCGTTCCCTATAAGAAATCTAGTTGTCCACAAGCTTAGAGAACGGCCCTGCTTCGAATCGATTACCCTTTCATATTAGCTCAGTGCGCTTATTAATTAATTAAATTAATGGATTAGTTTACGAAAATGTTATAAGTTATAAACCAATTCAATATTTTTAGATTAGATTAGTAACAGAGTTTGTTTACAATTAGATTGATTTGTTAGTTGACTTTTACAGCCTAACCTAACCTAACCAAACTTTCTTGACTGTGTGGCAACACTGGCAAAAGAAACAGTTTCCATGCTTGACTGCAACTGTACTTATAGGCATTTATTTTTTGTTGATGTTGGAGGGAGGCAACGGAACATCACGCCCCGGAGACATACAAGTAATAAATGCAATTGCTTTTACGGCAATTGGAAGGTGTGTTTGCCCAGACTCGACTTACTGCAGCAGCAGTAGACAGCAGCAGTAGCAGTAAGTGAGGCGGTTAAATGCCACAAAAAAACTTTGAAACTTTAAACCGTTTATCATTCGAATTTCAATTTCAATACGATTTGATTTCATTTTTCAATGATTTAACAATTCCCGCGAATTGAAGGTCAACCGCAAATGAGGCCAAAGAAAAAAAAAAAAAAAACAAAACGAAATAAGAAAACAAAATTTCGTTTCTTATAATTAATGGATAGAATGACGCCAGAGTTGGCTTGATAAAAGCATATTTCGCTCAGAAATTAAACTGGCTAGCTAAGTTTTTTCATTATTTGTTTTTGACCCGCGTTGAACCGGGTTCCGGTTTGCCAGGGTTCACAGCGTAGAAACTTCAAAGCGGAACGCCAACAATTGACCATAAAAGTCCACTATGCGAGTACCGTTAATGAGTGTGCGTGTGTAATTGCGAGTGTGTGTGCGCGTGTGTGTTGCCAAGCTGAGCGTGAATGAAACGAAGAGCAGCAGCAATAGCTGTTGGCCATAAAGCGATGGCCATAATGCAATGCGCTGCCAAATGCAATTGTTAAGTTGCCCGGCCCGCCTCTCTACCCGGCCACGCCCCGCCACACTTTATGGCCAACAGCCAGGCTTAATTAGCCATGCAACAAGCGGGCAGCGGCAGGTGGCAAGTGGCAAGTGGCAACCCAATTTGGCATCAAACAACAACAGCTAAAGTCGGTCAAAATGTTGCAGAGCAAAAAAAAAAAAAAAAAGAATGTGGCACAAACGGTGTCTTCTGCTTCTTCTTCTCTGGTTGCAGATGCAATCAAGTTGAGAATGAGATAATTATTGGTCAAGTATCTGAAGATGAGAATATTTAGTTTGTGCGAGATTTGAATTTGAAGAGCTGTCGCTTTTCGTCTGCTTCAGTCGCGTCTTCAGATTGCCTCATTATATTAACTATATTTTCGGCCTTTTTTTTGGAATTCATGTAATCCGCTTTTATTTTTATGATCTCATAAGCGCTTTTACTCAAAAAACACTTAGGCATTTTCATGCACATTGCCCTTTGTACGATTGGATTTTGAAATATGTACATAAAAGTTTTGAGTATATTCTCAAAGACATTAAATTAATAGCAAAAAGAAACATCCACTATTCCTAGTTTACTTAACAATTGAATCTTAGCCCTAAGACTAAGTTTATATAAATGTAGTATTTGTCTAAACATAGTTTATTTCAAAATGATTTTTAAATTTATTTTGAAAACTTTTCATTCCTAGAGAAACTTGCACAACCTTGTCGAAAGTACAATGTGGAAATAATTGGAATTTTAGCTCAGACTGAAACTAATTGAAGATTTGTTGAGTAATTATTTTTCAAAGATTTGATATGCTTATACACTGAAAAAAAAACATAGAGGCAATTGTAAAATCTTCGAATGAGCAGTTTTTAATAGAAGCTTTAACAATTTATTTGATAGCTCAGTGTGAATTTGTTCAATTATACACTGGCAGAAAAAGTCGAACAGGGTTTTTAGCTGGAACTGGAACTAGTTAGAAAGGTTTTACTGCATATAGCTGGAACTGGAACTAGTTCCAAAAGCTTTAAGAGTTTAGTTTAAAAGCTTGCAATTATTTTCATAGCTCAATATGCAGTTTTATCAAATTTACACTGACAGAAAAAGGTTTATTTTCTTCTCAGCTGAAACTGGAACTAGTTAAAAACCTTTTAGCGCAACCTATATATCGAAAAGCTAGGCAAGCGCATTAAGAGAAACTTCTACATTTAATTAACAGTTAATTTATGCATGTTTCATTTTATACACTGCACGAAAAGACTATCACAATAATAATATAATCATAACACGAGAGCAGCGGCTGGAAAAAATCTAGTTTTTCTACTCCGCATGAGTTTATGAATAATGCAAAGGTTTAATTAGCTCAGTTTTTTTTAAGTGTGTGCCCCTCTATACCCCTCCTCCAACCAACTACACTCAAACATATTTCACTTTCGTCAGAGCATTTAGTGTCCAATTAGTATTTTATCTGTTTTCCTCTTATCTACCTCTGTCTCATCTTCTTCTGCTTCTTCTTCTGCTTAACAACATCATTTACACCTGTTTTCAATTATGAGCGATAAGTTTCCCTTTGGCGGAGTCTGTTTGCTTTCGCATTGGCTCATCTCTATGCACATAACGGTGTATTTACCTGGCTCCGACGATGAGCGCGACGTGGAGGCCGATGAGCTGGCCGATGATAGCATGCCCGAAATGTCCGTTTGCACGGCGACACTTATTTTGGCCATTATTGTCGCCAGTTTTGCTCACACGCCTTACACTCTCTCTCTCTCACTCTCGCTCGCTTACTCCTGGGCCACCCTTGGCGGCTTCACCGTGACCCACTTAAGGTTACTTGGCCAGCTGTTTGTACGCCAGGCGGCGCCACTTGAAATCAATTTTCGAAATTAATTTGCGTTTTTAAACATTTCAATTGAATGTTTACTTTCAGAGTGGGGCGTTTTTTTTTTGTTGTTTCGTTGTTTTTTTAGAGATTTATTTACACGCTGTGCGCTGACCTCGAAAAGTTGGGAAACTCGACGGTAAACAATAAGAAAACCCAACGCCAGCAGCCGCTGCACTCTTATAACGACACTCTTATACACTCTTATACGGGCAGGCAAAAACACGCGACTTTTATGAATGGGTGGCAATATTTGATGAGGTTTGTTGAGATTCGTTTTGTTGTTGCTATCACAGTTAAATTATTTAGTTTGATGGAAAGGAGATTCCTGTATAAAAATAGTTAAGCGAGTTCTTAAAGCGCGCGGAAGCACAGTGAAAAACAGTTAGAAGCAACGACGACAACGACGACGACTGCGACGGCGACGACGGAAGCAGAACCGCTTGGAACGCACGCTGAAAATGAACTGAGACGGCGACGACGACGACGACGTTTCAATGGTTTTTGGCGCAGCAGCTTTCAGGTAGAGAGCGCAAAATGAGAGCGAGAGAGAAGAGCAGGCGGCAGAGCGCGCAGCGGCAGCCAAATGTTAACTTTTGAACTTGGTTTCACACGTGTGTGTGTGCTGACTCAATATATGCACGTATGTATGTGTGAGCGTGCGTGTGTGTGCCGTCAAAAACAACAACAAGAGCAGCGCAGGCGTCAATATGTAGCAGCGAGACGACGTCATTTTCAAAAGCAGATGATATGCGATGATAGCAGCAACAACAATAGCTAATGACGACGACAAGCGCGCACAAACACGCACATGCACGCACAAACACGCAAGCTAAAGCCACAGTTTAAGAGCTACAGCTTCGAGCGCCGCACTAAGCGCGCCACCTAGCGCCCTTTTGCTGTTACCCATTGCCCTCAACGTGTGGCTGTCCTCATAAATCTTTCTGTTTACAGTTTACGAGCTGTTTGGCATTTTTTCAGCAAATGATTCAATAAATTTTAAATATTTCCGCCTTGTTGAAAAAAAAAAGACTGACGTCAGCTGCAAGAGGAAAATTTGCTCAACTGGTGATCAAAACAGCGCATAAATTTAAATAAATTATCACAGCCAAAAACACACATTTTGTGCCAGCTACAGTTTGTGAGGCATGTGCAAAGCAAAGACACATTTAGCAAAGGCACAGTGGCTGCACAACTGTATGGGATTGCGTTTGGTTAAAAAAAAATAAATTCGTTTTTGGACGTGAAAAATTAATTTGAACCAAATTCAATTAAATGCCTCAATTCATTCCGAGTACAAGTGTGTGGCCCATAAACCGTGCATCAGTTGAAAAAATTAAATTAGTAAAGTTGAGTAAGAATTAAGCCAAAAATATTAAACAAAAATCAAGATTGAAAGAAATCTAAGTACTAATATTAATTTTGGTTAAACATTTGACAAAAACACAAGCATAATTAACAAAATTACGTCTAGCTAAACGAAAACAAAAACACCAATTATAAAATATTTTATAGATAATAATACGATTATTTAAAAAAATTATATATCAAAAACTAAAACAGTTTTAAATGCATTGGTGTTCTTTTTTTTTCTTCATATAAAAACGGTAATTTTTATTTGCCAAAAAACGGAAAAAATAAATGCGCAAAATAAATAATATTTTCTTTCACTTTAAAATAATATTAAAACAAATGCAAAATTAAATTCGATGCAAAATGCGTTTTGTCAAATGCAAAAACAAAATTTTTCCAAATCATAATAGTTATACAAAAATAATACAAAATAGTATATATAAAATAAAAAAATAAAAAAAAATAGAGAGAAAAAAAAATACTACAAAATTAATTCGCTTGGCAAAATTTACAAGGCACAAGGTTTGACAGCCACTGTTCACTGTTGCACTGTTTCAGAGCAAACCCCGAACGCCGGCAAAGAGACGCTCCAGCCGCCCCATGGGCCGATTGACCAGCGCATAGAGCGACCGCAGCGTCCCGGCGAGGAATCTATAGAGCGTAAAGTGCTCCAGCATATTGCTCAGATCCATTACAAACTCAATCAATCGGGCCACAAAACGCGTTATGGGCGCACACTTGCACTCGGCGATGGGCGTGGCAATTGCAGCAGCAGCAGCAGCAGCAGTAGCAGCAGCGGCAGAAGGGGCAGCGGCAGCAGTTAAGTTTCCAGTTGCAGTTGGGATTAGATGACAGCCTGCTGGCAAGGACTCACCTTTTGTCTGGCCGGCGCAGTGTGTCGATAGCACCGTGCCAGGCGGACCCCTCAGCACGGCCTCCAGGCAGCGTATATTGTCACGGCAAGTGTTGATTATCTCGTTCTGAAAAACAGAAATTGTAAGACAAATTAGCTTAATTTAAGTCAAAAGTTTATGAAATCTTAAATCTGCATTTGCACTGACCCAAAATAAACTTAAGGCTTAGCTCTAAAAGAATTGTTTTTATATATTTTCTGACTAATCAAATTTGGAAGCACAACGGTAAAGTAAATAGCAAACAAATTGCTTAAAGCTCCATTAAAGCTTAGCAATTATAAACTTCCCTTGCCTAAATATTCCTGTATGTATTATAGAAAAAGCTGAAACAGAAGTATAAACGGACATTTATGTGTCAAAGCTAGCATCTTTTGATGTTTAGCGTAAATTCCACTTAAAGCTTAGCAGAACGTTCAATTAAAGCTTTGCCTAAAGCTCGCCTAAAGCTTCATTATTCTTAGCTATCTTTAGGGTCGTTTTCCGAATACTTAAAAATTAGTTTCTCCATACAAACTTATAAAGAAAAAGCTACTTAGAGCTAAGAGCTTTTATCTGGTAAGAAAGACCTTTTAAACAAATGAATAAAATCCGATTGGATAAATATAGGACACAGCTCCAATTGGAACAATCGTAAATGCGAGTTTTTCTATAAAATGAAGTCTGTATAGATTTATCTTTAGCATCTGTCTGGGGGGATACTTAATCTCCTTCTTTTTTTCTCCTAGCCCACATAAAGGAATTTCTCTTCGGGAACTTACATAATCCTCGGGTCGCAACAGATGACAGCGTATCTTGAGGGCGCGCGTATCCTCGAGTCTGTCGCGACTCTGTTGCAACAGGGAGCGCATCTCCTGTTCCCCATCCTCAGAATCATCGCCGCTCGACGAGGAAGTCGCCGGTATCAGCTTGATGCACTTCTCCAGATTGCGCGACGAGCGTCTGCGCTCATCGGCGGTCACGGTGCGGCGTCGGCGCGTCGATGTGTCGCTCTCCGAGGTGCGACGCAACAGCGACTGGGCCGAGTGGCTCATGCCGGCCCCGAATTCCAGCTTACGGCCCACGGATTCAGTCCGGGTAGTTGCTGGCAGCTGCTGGCTGGCCATTGCATGCTTGGGCGTCATCAGAGCCGTGGCCGAGGAGGACAGGTTTGCGGTGGTCGCCTGCTGCTGTTGCTGCTGCTCCGTCTGGCAGCTGATGGCCTCCGCCATGTCTGCAAGGATGTAAGGATTAGCTTGCTGGAGAGAACTCTCTCTTAGGGAATTGTGCGCTTACCTTGACACGACTTGCGTCGCACTTCGAGCGTCTTGCGGCGGCGCTCGTACTGCAGCTCGAGGGCGCGCTGGCGACGTGCGTGATCCACGCTGCTGCTAAACGTCTCCTGGGTAATGTGTAGGGCCTTCTGCTCGTGCTGCTGCAGCGAGTCCATGCGCGGCGGCGAAAACGAATCCAAATTGTTGGCCGCCGACAGCGAACTGCAGCAATCCGACTGCGAGTCAATGAAATTGCTGCAAAGCACAAAAAAAAAAAAAAATAATGCATATAAATTATATTTGATCTGATTTCTGATGGGCAAACTACAAATAGTTGACGTCCAAGATTTCTTGGCACACATCCGTGTCTCGGGTACTCACCGATAGTCATCGCCGAATTCCAAGAGACGACGCGCCGCATCCGAATCAAAGCCCTCCGAATAGTTCTCCGAATTGTATTTCTCTTGATAGTTGTCCCAGGCTGTCTCCGAGATGCTGCTGTGATGCTCCTCAGTGCTCAGCTCTATGGCAGAAAATCGAAAATAAAGATCAGTTAGCAATGTTTTAGTCGGGGGGTTTTTTTTTGTGGGCGGGTATTTTGTGGGGTGCATTTCGTGGTACCTTTTTGCCTGGGTACGGGCGTGCGTGCTTGTGAGAGAAAGATTTATACAATAGATAGACAAGAGAGTGTTAAATAGATCTGTGTTTGTGCCTCTTGTGGCATATAAAGCTAGTGAAACGATTTGAGGCAGGGTTTCCAGATAACTTAATTGCATTAACTAGGATTGGGCTTATTAATTTCTATCTTCGATTTGTTAAATGCATTTGTTTTGGTTATTACAAACTTTGAACAAATAAATCTCTAAACGAAGTTAGCTAAATATAAGCGACAATCCCAAGCTTTCTTTTTTTTATAAGACGCGGACTCCATTTTCACCTATCTTCCGACTGCGAAAATAGTTTTCTCTACGTGGTTGCAAATTAGAACTTTGAGTTTTTATAGCGTGATATAAGAAATCACAATATGCGAAAATACGAAAGAAATTAATTTTACAATGAAAGTGAGTTTGAAGCCAAACGAAAGATTAAAAATAACAGTTCACATAACGATTTTCGCCTATTTTCCACTGTTGCGGGTGGAATTGCGAAAATGCTTAAATACGTATATATCAAGTTCTTAATTATGAAAAATTAGCAAACTTGCAAACGATCGAAGCTCATTTTCCACATGTTGTGAATTTTCCAAATAGTTTGCAACATGTCTCAATATAACATTTATAAAGATCCTGACATTTGAAACGTTAAAGCATAAAGAGAGATCTTTGGATTTTAACAAAAGTGTTAAACAATTTTGAACGTATTTTAAGAAAGATCTTTGAAAATGTGTTTGAATTGCACGAGAAGTGTGAGACACGTCGCGAATTAACTTTCACGACAATCCTTTAAAATAGGTTTGAAGCCATTTGGATAGTAAACAAACATTTTTCAAAAATGTCAACTTCCTAGTTCAATCCTCATCAATCATAAATTATCTGTCAGTTGCAACAAGAATTTGAATATCTATAGATGACTGTTAATTCAATTGTTTTTCCTTTGACAAAGTTCTTTTTAAGAATTTAACTAGAATACCTCAATGATTAATAGAAACGTATGTATATGAAAAACAAAAATAAGATAAGGGGCGAGTGAGAAAGATGACATCACGATCGAATGTATATATATATATTTATATATCATTTATGGCAAGTGGGGCAGTGAGCCCCATCGTTTCAATAACAATATAGCACACTCCACTAAAGATAATCAGCCCAGTTTTGACCACCTCCGTAGGGGCCCCCTTTGTGCCGCGTTGCACTCACCTGCTTGCTGCTCGTCCTCGTGCATGTAGTTGGAGAGGGCTGCGAGTGCGCCCAAACGGATTTCGCTGGCCATCAAAGCGGCTGTGGTGAAGGAGCCCACACGGAACTTGGGCACCATGAGCTGAGACTCGGCATCGGCCTCGGTGGTCGTGGGCTCGTCCGTTTTGGGGCTGCCCTTTTGTATGCTCAGCAGTGCATTGGTGAACTCTTGCAGCTGCTGCGAGGACATCGACTCGCAGGATTTCATGAGCGTCTGCGTAAGATCGCCATGCGCCTCCGAGCCCGAGTCGGACTTTTTGCCGCCGGAGGCGGCAGACATGCGCTTCTTGCGGGCACGCCGGCGCCGCAGCGAACCCTTGCTGTCCGCTTTGCGTGCCGCATTGCTGCCCGTGCCCGAGGAGGAGGCGGCACGTGCCCGTGGACCCGGCGACAGCGAGTCCAAAGCACTCTCACTGATCGAATGGCTGGCCAGGCCCGGCGGCGAGCTCTGGCCGACGGCGGCAATCGTTGTGGTCAGCTGAGCGGCATCGGTGGTCAGCTGCGACAGGCAGGAGACGGACCAGGGACGCTCCGACTTGCGACGCGTCTGCGGACGCTTGACGATCTTTACGTTCAGGCTCTGATTGCTGCTGCCATAGCCCAGGGGCGTGGCCGGCTGGCCAATTGGTTCGGCGGAGCCGCCAATGCGTTCCGTTGAATTGCCATACGAGTTGGTGCTCGTCTGCAGGCACGTCGCAATCGAGTCGGTGAATCCCTCCGAGGAGTCCGAGTTGCCGCCACAAACGAGACCCGTCTGTGGCATTGAGTCCGTTTCGCTGGCCTCGCCGGAGGCCTCGCAGTCATCCGGCTTGCTGGGCGCCTCAAGGGCGTGGCTGCGCGTCAACAGCTGCGGCGTCGACGGCTGATGCTCCAGCCATTCCTGCAAAGAGTTTCGAATAAAGATTAGTTGGTGTGTGTGTTGATTGTGGAATGGTTTTGGCATACCTCGACACGCTGCTTGATGGGACCGGGCATGGTCAGTTCGCGCTTCTTGACCGTCGAGGAGATTTTGATGATGGAATGTTTCTGCTTCGTTGGCGTCTTCAATGCTGCCTCCTGAGCGTCGCGCACCAAATGCTCCGCTTCGAGCACAAGCTGCTTGATTGAATCATGCGAGACCTTGCACTGCAACGAGAGAGGGAGTAGAGCGAGAGAGAGAGAGTTAGTTAATGAGCATGGCGAATTGTAGTTGTCGCTTGGGTCATTCTGCTCAAGTGACGCAGCCGAAGAACAATTTAGCGTAAATTGAGGGCGTATGAGGAAGTGTAACAACAGCGAGTGAGAGAGAGGAAGGGAGAAACTTAACCAGATCATGGGCAGAGAGAGGAAGAGGCAGGCTGAATGCAGCGAGTGAGAGAGAGAAAGAAACTCAACTGGAGGGCAAGTTAGAGAGAGATAGAGAAAAAGTGGGAAGGAAGGGAGAAACTGGACTTATCAGTAAGTTCTGCGAATTGAAGCAGCGGGCTTCTCGCTTATCGCTCTCGTTTGTTTAGCTCAATTTCAATTCATTCGCTTCGTTCATTTGTGCAGCTGCATTTTATTCATTATTATTCACGCGCATTCATAAAGTTTCAGCAAAATATTCACATGATTTGCTTTTTAGCTTATCTTTATTTCTATTTGCATTTTCTTTTTTTTTTTTCTCTTTCTATTTTTCTCCTTTCTTACACTTTCTTATCTTTTTGTGTTCTGTCTTAACGCGTCAATCAAGTGGATCGAGCGGAGTTTGCTTCTATTTATTTTTTTTTTTTGTGTTATTCAAGGCCTTGCCAAATTGGTGTTTACCCAAATGTGATGTCATTTTGCATACCCTGTAAACGGATATGATAGACCTTGAATTGTTCTGCCAGTTAAATAGTTAAATAATCGATAGTTGCAAATTTATCGATAGTGAAAAAAATCGAATAAAAAATTTGCGGCTTTCATTTGAAGTAAAAGGCTAAATTCGAACGAAAAGTTTCTTTAACAATAAACGATTTTTTTCTATTGCTTTTGTTAATGTAAAAAAAATAACGAAACTATCGAATTATCGATATATTGATTTGAAGTAATTTCTCTTTCTACAATAGGACTAATAAAAGTACACTTCATATCAGTAAATTGATTGGCTGTGGATATATATTTAACATATATTTTAAGTATATGCCAGATTCTTCTCTGGAGTATGCTCTACTCGATATCGACATATCGAAAAGCTACTCATAGCACAGTTTATAGGATAGTCGACAGTCAAAAGCACAGCCATTTGATTAATCTTCTATTTACTCAGTTGCATTTTAATAACAGAATCAATAAAAAAGGATTGAAAAAAAATAAATGCTGAAAGAGCGACAACAGCTGTTGCTTTGACTTATATTTGTACATAAACAAAAACAAACTTTTCTTAACAAATCCAAACGTAAATTTGACGAAATCAATTTGATTGTTCAACCAATTAGAACCTTGTAAGACTGCCAAACAAACAGAAAGACAAAAAATCAGCGAAGCGTTAATAATGTTTCGATTGTTTTTGTGTATTTTTTTTTTTTTCACTTCTTCTAAATATTACAAAACTGTTGCCTCTCGAAAATGGTACAAAAAAAAAAAAACGCAAACGTTAACCTTTTGACAAAAAGGCATTAAAACTAAATGGTTAATTGCAAATTGTGTTGCACAATTGAACAATTCCAAGGTAGATTCAGCTTTCGAGTGTCATAAACTGAGTCAGACGATGCCGTCAGCTGGCGTACAGTGTCTGCCAAATGCAACTTCACGTAGATACACGTAACATGTATATCTGAAGTTAATTTTGCAGAAAGTTTAGCTGTGGCTGTGTTCAACACATGCTTCAATTTTATTGCTAATCTTTGGATTAATTTAATTAACAGTTTCCTGTGGACAGCTTCGGCGACAGGCCGGCCACGCAGCCAGTTTGAGCTGCATTGTGAGTGTCAAACTGCGTGCAGCACAACAAACAAAAAAAAAACGAACACACAAACGGAAACAATTTTTCCAAATGTGCAAATGTTCAACGTTTTACAGAGTTGCTGCAGTTGTTGCTGCTGTCCAACTCGAGGCGAGCATAAAAACAAACCAACAACAATTGAAAGGCCTTTGCGATTGGGCGTTTGTGATAATTAAAGGCAATTATATGAGTTTGGCTTTTTGCTTAGCCATTGGCCAATTAACTTAAACTGGAAACTTTAACCACTCGACTAGAGCTGGGTAATGGCCGAATCTCGTGCGTGAGAGTGTCACGATAGTTGTGCGATAGTTGTTGGTGCAAGCTTTAAGCAACAAGTTCAGTTGGACTTTAGCTAAGGCTTTTAGTTGTTTTTTATGCGATATGTTAACGATATTTATACGATAGTACTAGATGAATATTGAATAAATTTATCAAGGAAATAGTTTAGATAGTCCGTGGTAAACTTACGTCGGAGTTGCCACGAATGTTATGCGATAGTTTTATGGCGCCGATCGATAGTTAAGCGATAGTTTTTGGCATGCTCGTATACTCCACAACGGTCACGTAGCCACTTTTGATAAGGAACTTCATAAATTTAGCTCATAAATATTTATAAATGCCGGAATAAATGTTCAACTCTACACAGTTTTATTTTCTCTCACTTCCTATGCGATAGCTGAACGATAGTTTTTTCGTTTTTATCTTATGCGTATCTGCTGGCGCCAGACAACTTTTGGCCAACAAATTCTTATAATAACACAAGCAAGCATTCATGGACTTACTGGAGTGCATGTTTCTGCAGTTTTCTTTTGTTGCCAGCTACTCACGCGCCCATCTCTAGTGCGGCCAGAGGCTATACAGTGGCTGACAAACTGTTGAAATGTCTATGGACAGCTTTAAGTTTTTGTTTTTTTTGGGGCCTTGACAATCGTCGCGGTTCTTTTTTTGTCTTTTGCCAATTTAATTGCACTGCGGCACGCACGCAAATCGCGAAATTTAATCGCGAATGAGTGTGCGCAGTTTGACAGGCACTGTGCGCGCTTAATTACACACTATTTTGTTTGTTTTTCGTTTTTTTTTTTTTTTTTTTTTGTTTAAGCAAAATGCAAATTACGCGAAAAGCGAACAATAACAACAAGTTTAAACAAACAATAATAATAATAATAATAACAATGGCAAATGCTGCTTTCTATTGTTTGTCTATCTTTTGTTACAGTGTATCTGTATCTGTGTGCAACTGTATCTGTATCTTTTGTATCTGTAGCTGTAGCTGTAGCTACTACAACCGGCGGCGGCAACTGCGCGACGCGTACTGAAAGTTCACATTTGCGAATTCAAATACAATCGAAGATTTTGATAATGGCACCAAGGTGCGGGGCACAGTGCACTGCCGATAAGATAAACGCCGTCAAATGTATCGAAAATGTTCAGTTTGGCCCGTCATCGAGGTATCGAGATTGTCATCGATTTGTTTACTGCGCCTATTCGACGTACTCGTTGACTAGTTGACTTGTTTTAATATCTATTATATATATTTACTTTACTTTCTGTTAATTTTTGTTAACAAGTCAATTGAGAGCTCGTTTTATTTCAGCGACATGCGAGTGCGTTGCGATAAGATAAGATTTGGCATTATTAGATGAGTTTTTAGTTCGATTTGAGTTTTAAATGGTCGCAGCGAACGTCATCGATGTTTGGTTATCAGCTCAGCTGGCTATCTCTCGCTGGCATCGCGCCATCAATTGATATGCAAGCACACAGATTTGCATTGCGACATGCATAAATTAACAAAAATAAAAATAAAATCGTGTAAAAAATGGCGAAATGCGAAATTTGTCAATATTAATCAAAGCGACGCGAATTTCACTCTCAATAAATCAGCGCACGCAACGCAGTCTTTGGGCCGGAGACTCTCTGGAGCTGGTACTGCCCTCGGGTGGATGACAGTGAAAACTGCGTGCGACAGACTTGAGTCTGGATTGGACTGAGGGGGATTCAACTTGTGCTGCAATCGACTTGTCAGCGACAAATGCAAATGACGCACACACAAGAGCAACAGCCAACAGCCGAGAGCATACATAAGTAACATGTTGCTGGTATTGCCGATGTCTGGCCAAATAAAAGTGAGAGTTGGATAACAAAAAACCAGACATTGCTCATGTCCAGCCAGTTAATAATTGCTTCACTAACAGCCAAAAGGGTAGTCGTCAGTGCTTAACCAGACCAAGCATACATGCAACATTGAGAATCGCAAAGAGAGGCGAACATTAATGCATGAGAACATGGCATTTATGTAAGCGTTGGCGATTCTTACAAGTCAATTATAAGCGAAAGATACTTTTAGAATTCTATTTGCTTTCAAAATAAAGTTCGATTTATTTCTTCATTTTTAAAAAATGTTTTCTTAATCGTAGAATGATCAGAGATATGCTTGCGAGTAATTTTAAAAAAATCTAGCATCAAAATATGTGAAAATCGCAGAGAAAGGCGTAATAAGCTGTTTTAGCTTGTTGAAAGCTGTTTTAGGCGTAACTTAAACATTTCTAATGATTTGTTAAAAACAATACATGTTTTTAGTTTTATAAGAAAAAGTTTTGATTATCAAGAGATTTTTAAAATTGTTGCCAATTTCCAGACCAAGTTATTTGCCAATTGTGGCCGCTCACATGCTTTCATTTCCCAACACTCGGCCTGTTGATTTCCACCCGCTGATTTTCACAAATAACTTCAGCGAATTTGTCTCAAATTACAAAGATGCTCGTTTACAGCCCATTACACGCGGCAACTTGTCATTGGACATGTTTGGGGGACATGTTTACCAGCCAAATGACACGAAAAAGCCACAAAAAGAGCTTAGAGAAATTTAAGGCGAATCCACACACACACACACACACACACACACGTACACTCACTGAGATACACACACTGAGATACACGCATTATCGGACCACCGGCAAAGTCGTTCAATTGAATCGATGGATCGATCGATACTCGCAACTCGTGTGCATTTCAAGCGAAACTGAAACCATGAGAGCCCAGCCAAACAACAAAGAGCAGCCGGCCTGTTATACATGCATATAACCGAGGCCCCAGCTCTGGGCAGGCTCAGCTTTGCTCTGAGCTCTTGGTCATGGACACGGTTGTGCGAACGTGCGACACGCAATGTGTCCAAGTCTTTGGCTGCCACACAAGATGACAAATTGCAAAGTACCGTGAATTTTCGTATTGCATTGATGAAAGGGAAACTGCAGCAGTTGTGGGGGCAGTGTACACTGAGAGAAATGATCGACTGTGCATATGAAGGTGCAGAAATAAATAGAAGAGGTCGTGTCTTGTAAGTTCGAGCTGTTTATCTCAATTTAATAAAATGTAAAATTTTAATAACTTAATTTCAATAAAATTTGCTTTAATTTTAAGCCCAAAAATAGGTAGGCTTAGATTTTTCTCAGTGTTTTGATCTTTTATAAATCAAAATAACTTTTGTCAGCGTGGCAACTAAATGCGACCAAGAGAAAGCAGACTAGAAGACATTGGTCAAGCTGTCACTGGACAAAGATGAAGCGCAGGAAATGTTTCCGCTTCCTTAGCGCAAAGAGTGAGAAAGGGAGAAGGAAAGAGGGAGAGAGGTAGAGACTTACCTTTGCTGGCGACATAGTCGCATTGCTGCTGCTCGCCTGCGATTTAGAGGACTTGGCGGACTTGGCCGGCGAGCGGGGTGGCAAACGATTGCCACCATTCTGTTGGCCATTCGGAATTGGATTTCCATTGCTGCAGTTGCTCATCTCAGTGGGCCAAACGCTGATGTTGCAGATGTCGGCGCGGCTATAAAAACTGCTGCTGCTGTTGTTGTTGTTGTTGTTGTTGTGGCACATAGACTGCAGCTGGGGGTAAGATGGAAGAAGGCAAACGAAACTTGCTTTAATTAAAAATGCCAAGAGAAGCGTTTATTTAAAAGCGAATGCCTTCTGTCTCATAATCAATCAGCCATTTCCTGCTGCAGCATTTTCGTGGATGCAGCATGGCTCTATTACAATGTGGCTGCCACCAATACCCATAAATCTAGCCCGGTCGAACGTGTCCTCGCTAACTCTGTCGTTGTCGTCCCTTTCAATTGTACAACTTGTGTATACCCTGTACTCAAAGATTAAAGGGGTATATGACAGCTATGCATGTAACAGGTATGAGTGAAATGAGGATTTTCAATTTAAATACAAGACTTTAGCTCTTTTATCGATAATGCCACATATTTCCATGTTATCGATAAATATCGATTTGAAGAAAGCATTTTTAAACATATTTTAAAGAATTTTAAACCAAAATGGAATAAGTTTGGAGCGTAATACTTTGTCTAGCATCCACGAAACATTTATTTATTTTTTCTTGTGATACTTTTTATCACTTCTTTCAAATTATAAATAATCGAGAATGCGCTTGATTTTGAACCTTAAAAACTTAAGAAATATGAAATTTGTGTTTAAAACGTTTCACAAATCGTTGCGAGGTATCTTCTAGTCGATCAGTTTGCGACTAGAGCACACTTAGTCGCCTTTTTTTTGTGTGCCGCAATGAAGAAATAAATCACACGTTTTTAGTTAATTTCGTACTTTCCCATTTTTGACGTGCGCTGCTCAGTTTTTCCTGGACTATCGCCAGCTCCGTCGACCTGTCTGTCAGTCAGTCAGTCAGCCAGCCAGCCAGCTAGGCAGTCAGCTAGGCAGGCAGCTAGGCAGTCGGGCAGTTAGAGGAGGCAGCAGCCCAGCAGCAGTTGGGAGTCGATAGTTTTGGCATCAATTTTGAATGGCAGCTGCTGCTGCTGCCGGGACGGGAGTCGGTCGCAGTTGGTGCATGATTTGCTTTCATTAACCCAACTGCTTAATCATCAGGTGCACGGGAAAACCAAAGCAGGCAGGCGGGCAGGCAGGGAGGCAGGCAGTAGGCAAAAAGAGGCGGTAGCCATTTATTGAAAAGGTGCCCCTCTCGCAGCTAGGCTCACCTTTTCGGCTGCTTGGTATTGGGCTAATGGCAAACAAAGTTGCAACAAAATCCAACAAAGCAACTTTATTGACACAAGTCAAAGTCTTTGCCAGACAGATTCAGCGATCGAATCGAAATCGAATGCGGAGACGGTGACTTGGACTCAAGAGTCCAAGACTCGCAAAACTCGAGACCTGATGGCTCAAGCCTTAAAACTCAAGGTACCTCATGCGGCCAACTGTGGGAACCTGTGTGGCATACTGCAAGCTGTCTGCAGCAACAGACTATTGTAGCATGTCTGTGATTTGTATTTGCGAATTTTGCGATTTGTGGTCTATAAATGGTAGGGCTCAAAACACTTGAAGAGTTCTCAGCGCATGTTCGGACTTGTTGCTTATTAGCTGATATATCTGGCAGACTATTAAGAAATAATGGCAATGGAAATGAAAATAAACAACGGATGAGAGATTAAGCTCAAATATTCTCTTGTTATGGTAATGAGCACATCATGCAACATTTGACATTCAGTTCGGTTTCGGCTCTTCCACAGCTGGGTAGCTGTAAGAGTTATTGCGAAGTTTTTCGCACGAAAGGGAAACTATCTGTGTAGTTGCAAGCTTTTTTGCAACCAATTAATTCTAACTGCTTGTGCAGCGAAATTCAAACACTTAGATTAGTTTTCAAATGGATTTATTTGCCGCGCAGGGCACTTATTAGAATTTATAAGTTTTAAATTGTTGCTTGGCAGCCAACTCGAATTAGTTGTGCCTAGGTTGCGATCAAAACGAAAGACTGACTGGTTATGACAATATGTAAAGCGAATCGAAACGAAACTCCAATAAGACGCTCGCCGGTTAGAGCGAAGGGCAGCAATGCAAGCAAAGCAATTCAGAAGGAGAGTGGACAGCAGCTTACAAAGAGCGCGCAAAAAAAACTATTTGCTCTTAGGCTGTAATTATGATTGTTATTTTCTGCTGTTGGATGATGTCCGCAGCCGTCGGTGTTATCTCTGCTGTTACTTGACCAAACATTCTCCCCCCGTTGGAAGGCAAGGGCTTTCAACATCATCCTGTTTGGGCAGCAAACACAGCTTTCGTACAGCTCTACGTATGACTCCAGTCGCAGTTTGAAGCACAGCAACTCTGGATACCCCATCAGATCCAGAGATCAGCTCTTGCACTCTGGCGAGTGGCCACTTCAGCGGCGGTAGATTCTCATCCTTTACAAGGACAACATCGTTAATGGAGAGTCCAGGCTGAGGAGTGCGCCATTTGGAGCGCTGTTGAAGAAGCGTCAAATACTCTTCGCGCCAACGGGCCCAGAATACTTGTTGGAGATATGTGACGCGCTGAAAATAATTAAGCCGATTGAAGTTAAGCTGCCTTAGATCGGGCTCAATGTATGATGAAGATGGCGCTGTACCCAGGAAGTGTGCGGGTGTCAAGACGTCAAGATCACCTGGATGCTCTGAAAGTGGAAGTAATGGTCGAGAATTAATAATTGCCGTGATGTGGCAGACGAGCGTACGCAGCGAATCGAAATCCAAAATGGAAGAGCAAACAGATCGATAAAAGTGGTGCTTAGCAGTCTTCACAGCGGCTTCCCATAGTCCACCAAAGTGCGGAGAGCGAGGAGGGATGAACAACCATTCAATTGATTCGGTTAGGCAAAACTCGTTAACGGCCTTGACATGCTCGTCTCTCAGGAACAGGCGGTTCAGATCTGCTAGTTCGTTCTTGGCACCTACGAAGTTTGTCGCATTGTCAGACCAGATCCTTGAAGGTCGAGAGCGAGTCAGGATGAAACGTTTTAGGGCGTTTAGAAACGATGTTGTGGACAAGTCCTTTACAAGCTCTAAGTGCACCGCCTTTGTAGCGAAGCATATGAACAGACTGATATAGCATTTCACTGGTGGCCTGTTGCGCACTTCGTTCTTGTAGTAAAATGGTCCACAGTAATCAACGCCAGTGACCATAAAGGGATACGATGTATTAAGACGATCAGCTGGTAGGTCTGCCATTATATGCTCGGCCAATCGTGGCTTGGCACGAAAACAGATTATGCATTTGGCAACAATACTGGAGACTGTTTTTCGACCGCCAATGGGCCAGTACTGGAGCCGAATCGAAGACAATAAAGCGCGAGGTCCAGCGTGTAAGTTTCGTTTATGAAAGTAAACTATGATTGCTCGCGTCACAGGATGCTGACGGGGCAATATAATCGGATGTCGCGCTGAGAAGTCCAACGACGAGTTTTTCAGCCGTCCACCGATGCGAAGTAGGCCGAAGTCGTCAAGGAATGGTGCAAGAGAGGCCATTGAGCTAGACGGTTTGACATGCCTTCCTTCCTTCAATGCCTTGTAGTCATCGCTGAGAGTAGCCATTTGCACTGACCGCAGCAACCAATGTGTGCCATGATGCAAGTGGTCAACGGTTAGTTCAGCTCCTCGGATTCGATTTACAAATTTGTAAACATAAGCAAAGACCCGCTGCAGCTTGGAAAACGAATTGATGAACTTGCAACCAATCGAGAGATCCGGTTGCGCTGCAGTTCCGAGGAGTACCTTGTGTCGAAGTTCTGGTAAGGATTCGACAGGTACACAGGAGGCAGGCCACTCTTCCTTTCCCTTACTGAGAAAACTCGGACCATGGGCCCATAATGGAGACCGGAAGAGCTCACTAGGCAGCGCTCCTCGTGAAATTATATCCGCCGGGTTTAATTCGGTGGGAATATGATGCCATTCCATTCCAGTGGTGAGCTCTTGGATGGCTGCGACTCGGTTGGCAACGAAAACATTGAATTTCGAAGCATCATTGCGAATCCAAGCCAAAGTCACGGCAGAGTCTGACCAACAGTAATACCGACAGTCGAACACTTTCATTTGGCATATTTCGCTGAGAAGTTGAGCCAGTAATGCAGCTCCGCAGAGTTCCAGCTTTGGTACCGTGATGGTTTTCACAGGCGCGACACGCGATTTGGAGCATAAGAGACGCACGCTGGTGTTGCCATTGCACTTTGAGACTGTATAGACGCATGCTCCATAAGCGCTTAGGCTGGCATCACAAAATCCGTGAATCTCCACTGTACTGTCTGATGAGAGTGCTCGACGGGGATACTGGAATTGCTGAGTATACTCAAAATCAGCGCAGAAGTTGACCCAGGCTGTGCTTAAGTGTACGGGCAGGCTCTCATCCCAGTCCAGCTTTTCTCTCCAGAGATCCTGCATAAAAATTTTCGATTTTGTTATTACGGGACCAACAAGACCAAGGGGGTCGTAAAAGCGAGCAATTGCGGAGAGTATTGACCGTTTTGTCAGTCTGGAGGGCAACCTCAGTGGAGAGAAGGAGAAAAGGAAACAGTCTGAAGCGGGATCCCAAACGAGGCCTAACGTTTTCGTGATGTCACTGCCATCGTCAAACTTAAGCAGCGTTTCTCTATCCTCTTCCGGTATGTTTTGGAGTACAGATGTGTCGCTAGAACACCATTTGCGCAGCCTAAAGTTCCCCTTGGCGAGTAGTCCAGATGTTTGTTTCAATATCTCAATTGCTTCTTGAACACAGCTACCACCAGAAATGAGGTCATCCACGTAGAAATCTCTTTTAACAATGTCAGAGCCAATAGGGAAAGTTTTCTGCTCATCCATGGCCAGTTGGTGCATAGCTCGCACTGAGAGAAACGATGCTGGTTTTGTGCCGTAGGTGACGGTGTCTAATTTGTAAATCTGTATCTTCTGATGCTGAGACTCACGCCACAAGATACATTGAAAATAACTGTCTGCGGGTTCGACTCGTACGCATCGATACATTTTGCATATATCGCCTGTCAGGGCGACTGCAAATGTACGAAACCGCATCAGTATCGAAAACAGCTTCGGTTGGATGGTAGGACCTGCCATCAGTGCATCATTCAGCGAGTGTCCAGAGGTAGTAACTGCTGAGCCATCAAACACGACCCTTAGCTTGGTTGTAGTGCTATCCTCCTTCAGCACGCAGTGATGTGGCAGGTAGTACTTGCATTGGCCCAGTGCAGCTGAGGTAACAAGTGACATGTGACCCAAGTCAAGATACTCCTTGATAAATGCTGCATACTGGGGTTTCAATAGTGGATTACGGTCTAGTTTTCTTTCTAAGTTCAGGAATCGACGAACCGCCTGTTGATAGGAGTCACCCAGCGGATACATGCCTAGACGTAGCGGTAAACGAACTGAATAGTCGCCAGTCGACAGACGTTTAAAATTGGCCTGAAAGTGTGCCTCACAGTCGCGTTCCTCCTTGTTTGGTAAGGACTCAGGGTCGGTGCAGCATTCCAATTCCCAAAAACGACGGATTAATTCATCAATCTGTGTATTAGGCTGCAGATGCGAGTCAACCAGCAGATCTGGATTCTCCATTGATCTCATGGCCATGAATGATGATTTTCCAGCATGTGAGGCACCTCCCGTAGCCACCCAACCAAGGCGAGTCTTTTGCAATATCGGCAGTCCAGCAGCTAGTTTAATCTGGCCGACGCATAGCAGATCGAAGAACAGACTGGCTCCAATCAACATGTCGATTTGCTGAGATTTAAAGAATTCAGGATCAGCTAGTTGTATATTTGATGGAATGTTCCATGATGCAGGGTCAAGAGTGAAGCCAGGCTGATTATCGGTGATGGATGGTGCAATCAAGGCCGGGATGCATGTGGAGTACTCCGACACTCGAGATTTGACATTGATGTTGACCGAAAACCCATCGGACGCAAATGCTGCATCACCAATGCCAGAGACGATTGCTGTTGACTTGAATTTGCGCAGCTGGAGCTGATGAGCAAGACGAGAGGTGATGATGTGCAACTGCGACCCAGAGTCGAGCAACGCACGGCAAGGCACCAAGGAGCCAGCGCGATTTTTCACGTTGATGACGGCAGTGGCAAGCAGGACCACATCGTGCTTGAGATGCTGGGCGGTAGTGAGAGGCGAAGATAAAAGTGCCGCCAAGGTGTTTTGGGATGACGAATAAGTTTCGGTATCTTGAGCATTGTTTGGGCTAGAAGCAGCGATGTGACTGCTTGTGTTGCCAAGATGCAACAAGCTATGATGTTTGCTTCCACAAACTCTGCAAGCGCTGGAGCCGCAGACTCTCAGCTGATGTCCCCTTTGCAGGCAGTTTAGGCACAGCGCAAGCCGCTTGGCTTCGTGAAGGCGCAGCAAGGGCGATAAATTTGCGAATTGCAAACATTTATAAATAGAGTGGCCTGCGACTTCACAAAACACACAAGCACTCGTTCCATTCCTAGTCACTACAAACGTTCTTCTACTACTGTTGTTCTGGCCCACCTGGGAGCTAGGCGTGTACATTGCCGTAGCGTGATCCGCATTTTCCAGCCTTTGGCAACGCCTCTCTATGAAGGTTGTAAACCGCTCGCATGATGGTATGACGTCCAACGGCGCATCATCCTCCCAGCTAGCCTGCGTAACGCTATCTAGTTTTTGCAGCAACGTATGTACTATGACGCAACCGGCGATCTGTTCCACACTGCCCATCGATTTTAAAGCACGTAGATGAGAGTTGAGCTTATCTGAAAATTCGCGCAGCTGTGCAGTCGCGCCCTTGTCCACCTTTCTCAAACCCAAAATTTCAGAGATGTGTGCCTGAAAAATAAGACGCTTGTTATTAAAACGCTTATCAAGCAGTTCTAAAGCGGCAGCATAATTTGCGTTTGAAATTTCCAATGAGCGAATTGTATCCAGCGCTGTTCCTTTAAGGCATGACCGTAGATGCTGGAGTTTTTCAATGTTGGTCAAATACGGATCCTTGTCAATGACCGTGGTGAACAGGTTCGAGAAATCGGCCCATTCTGTGTAGCCTCCACTAAACTCCGGCAATTTAAGTTGAGGCAATCGAGAGTGGTTTGGAACAACAAAGGTAGAACGCGAGTCATCGGCTGCGGCTGAATTGAAGGTGGAACAATGCGGAATCTGCTGAACCTTGCTTCGATTTCCGCGCTCGCGTTGAAGGGACAGCCGTAGCTGCCTAATAGTTGACTCAAAACTTGTCTGAAGATCCTCATCAACGCTGGCATGATCCACCTCCAACAAACCATCACAGACTATCTCAAATTTCGCCTGCAAGTCAGATGCCATGCTTATGTAATCTTGCAGCTCGTAGTCATCAACATCGCGAAGTCGAGCGGGATCAAGTTCCGAGGACAATCTATTGAGTCGATCAGTTAAATTCTTGATCTTTATTTTAAAAACAGCAGCCTGGGTTCCAACCGCCACTTGACTAGCTGATGTCGCCTCATCATTTCCATTTGCACTTGCACCTTCATCAAACATTATGAATGTAGCGCACAACAAGGTTCACACAGCCGAACTACAATACAAGTCTGATCGCGCAAGTGTTCGTTCGAGCGAGATAGCGTATAGCGGGTTATAGCGCGCAACGATTAGCGGGGATTTGCTACGGCGTTTATGTATAACAACCAACTGTATGCAGATGCGCAAGCAAACGGCTCACCACACAGCTTTGCCCGAACTGATAACTGTCCGTTGACACGACAAGAACGAAGTACAAGAAAAAATAGAAAAAATGAAAGAAAGAAAAATCACGTCGGGGTCACCAAAATGTGTAGTTGCAAGCTTTTTTGCAACCAATTAATTCTAACTGCTTGTGCAGCGAAATTCAAACACTTAGATTAGTTTTCAAATGGATTTATTTGCCGCGCAGGGCACTTATTAGAATTTATAAGTTTTAAATTGTTGCTTGGCAGCCAACTCGAATTAGTTGTGCCTAGGTTGCGATCAAAACGAAAGACTGACTGGTTATGACAATATGTAAAGCGAATCGAAACGAAACTCCAATAAGACGCTCGCCGGTTAGAGCGAAGGGCAGCAATGCAAGCAAAGCAATTCAGAAGGAGAGTGGACAGCAGCTTACAAAGAGCGCGCAAAAAAAACTATTTGCTCTTAGGCTGTAATTATGATTGTTATTTTCTGCTGTTGGATGATGTCCGCAGCCGTCGGTGTTATCTCTGCTGTTACTTGACCAAACACTATCGATAGGCCAAAAATATGAATTGAAAATCATCGATAGTTCATACGTATTTAGTGGAATGTATCTTTGTATGCCAATGCATTCACACTACGCTGCCAAAGCTAGCCTTTCCATGGATAACTCTTGTATCTCTCATTCGTATCTCAAAGCCTTTTGGTTATCTTAGTAATTCACCCAAAATGAACGCAGTTGAGTTTAAAGGTTTAAATGTAGATAACATAATCTGCAATGACACTTGACTCGCACTCACCTGTGCTGCATTTCCATTTGCATTATCAGCAACAGTTGCCTCATCAGCGTTCTCCAGATTTGCGCCCATTTTCAGCAGTTGCTGTTGTTGTTGCTGTTTAGAGTCCAGGCGCGACTGTTGCTGTTGCTTGTGATTATTGTTATTGTTGTTGGCATTCAGCTGTTGTTGCTGCTGCTGAGTGCTGCAGTTGTTGTTGTCGCTGTCGCTGTGCAGTTGTTTGTAGCAATTGTTGCTAATGATGTGTCTTGTGTTGTTGCTGCTGCTGCCATCGCTGGCGCTACCATTGCAGATTTGCAACTGAATGTCCATGTCGACAACACTGCGCTGCATTTGGGTAACCCGCGACGTGGCCGATGTCTCCGTATGGACACCGTTCGAATTGGACGAGGAGCAGGCGCTGCTGCTGTCGTAGTTGCTGCTGTTGCCAGTGCTGCCAGTTGCAATCGCAACAACAGCAGTTGCAGCTGTTGTGGTCACCAGCGTCTCCTTGTTCTCCTTATCAGAGTCGTCGCTGGGCGCAGCGCTGACTCCTGCAACGGCGCCAGAGGTTGTCGATGAGATGGCAGCCGACTGCAGACCATCGACTGTGGATGTTGCTGCTGTTGGTGTCGCAGTTGTTGCTGTTGTTGTTGCTGCTGCTGCTGCTGCTGCTGTTGCTGCTGTGTAGAGCCAACCTTCGTCGTCGTCATCCGATGAGGCATCAGCCGATTTTAGTATCTAGAGTTTGTCGGAAGGGTAAACGAAAAAAAAAAAACGTTAGTATGGAAAATGAAAATCAAGCAAAAGCTGTGTGGGCCTACGTCACAGTCAGAGTCGCAGGCTGTGCCTGTGCTGGCAATGCCAATGCCCAGCCAGATGAAGATGAAGTAGTAGAAAATGAAGTTTAATTAGCGTTACTTGCGCAAAATGGCAAATTGTAACTTGTAGACACAACAGCAACACACACACAGCAACAACAATTGTAGCTACAAATTGCTGATGTTGCGGCTGCGGCTGCGACTGCGCATGAGTGGCAAAAATCTTTTGAGTTCGTCTGAAATGCCGGTTGCCAATGCGGCTGCCTCTGCTGGCCTAACCTGGCCTGGCCATGGCCCGACTGACTGGAGGAGTTGCCGCCGTGCCGCCCTCAACCAAAATGGTTGTCAGTTGCTGCTGCTGCAGTTGCTGCTGCTGCTGTTGTTTTCACTGTTTGCAATTTATATTAATGTTGCGACGTTGCATTCGGATTGTCTTGGAGACCTTAGGCTTTGCATGCAGCCAAGGCACACTCATCACTTGGGTGTTGGAGGAGCAAACAGCATCAGCGACAGCAACAACATCAGCAGCAACAGCAACATCAGCAGCAGCAGCAGGTTGAGCAGCTTAAAAGACAGCCAGCTTGTCATTAAAATATGTAAATTTTGCTTAAAATATTCCTTTTACTCAATAAGTAAACATTTTAAGCGTCAACGAATCTAATTTGAGGTGCTAACGTAAATATCAGATATTCAGATATTTTAAATAACTTCCATTCAAAAATATATAAACACAACAGTACTTAGCACAAGTAAGAATGCACTTGTCGGGAGTGTCCGACTTGGAGATACCCTGACTCTTCTCTTAGCTTAGCTGACTTTTCTCTTTTTCTTAACAATGGAGCTGTTCCAAGAGTAAACTAATTGTAACCTGTATATATGCTTTCTGAGCATTATTTGAGAATATTTAAATCACAAGTCTGTAGCTTTTGTAGCTACTGAGTTCGATGCATTCCTACAGACAGACTTAGCTCGTGCTGTTAAAGAATTTATATACTTTATGAGGTCGTAGATGATATCATCTGCCCGTTACAAACCTCTACACAATTCAATATACCCTGCTTTACAAATTTTCAATACGTTCGAGCTTTAATTAATACTGGCTACTATATCCTCCGGCTAAGACATCACAGACATCTATACTCTGCAGGCTAAGCTTCTAACTCGGTGCCTTCATTTGGCAGTTGCCTCAAGCAATAGGTCATTTGGATTGTTAATTTTCTTTCGGATTTGAGCTTTTGTTGATTTGGAGTGCTATTGAAAATTCATCGGATCTTAGAAAAGCTCTCTTACTTTCGCTGTGTACTGGTGAGCTGGAGTTCATGGAACAACTTTTGACCAGGAAATCGATTCATTAACATAAACGGAACTACTTAGTTATATTTGGCTGTTTGGGCGTAGAGCTGAAGAGCGGCTGACCTGTGGTCATGAATCGAGCCCCGGGCGCAGGTTGTCTGCTTTTGAACTCTCGCACGAAAGTCATTTAATGATTAATGATGTGGCATTATGACTACCAGATAATGAGCAGCAAAGTTAATTAAGAAATTGTTAGGCATGCCAAAGATTATACGATATATATATAGATACACATATGGTTAGTCAAGTATGTTTTTTGTTTAGTGGAAAATGCAAATAACTTAACAGATGCAAAAAGACATGCAAATTGAAGCGCATTTGGCATGGGGCTTAAGCAACGCGCAGGGTTGCTAATCGCGCACAATCGAGCGTGCGGCGATTGTCGATAAGTTGCCGATAACCGCGACGAATTCGCCATGGACGAGGTGAGACCCAACGCACCAACAATTATAGAGAACCGGTCACCATCTGGCTGATAACGGTACTTACTTCGCTGGGCTGACGAGCATCCCCCTCGCCGGCAGCATCGGTGCCAGCGGTGCCGCTCGTCTCATTGTCCGTATCCAAATGCTTGAAGTAGAAGATGGCGCAGTTCTTGGACTTGCGATTGGAACGATTGAACTTGGAGGTGTCATTGTGATGGCCGCGATGTGTTGCCGCCTTTCTCAGCACCGTTGGCGACTTGTTCAGTTCGTGTGCGTGTCCGTGACCGTGTCCATGGCCATGTCCATGGCCATTATGATGGCTATGATTATGGGTATTCGGCGTGATTACGGCGACGGCAATGCTCTTCGGCTTGACGCCATTGTGGCACTGTGGCGGCAACATTTTCACGTTGCCGTGTCGCGTCTGCAACAGCGACAAATTGGCCAAATTGGGCGTGGAGCTGCTGCTGTTGTTGTTGCTGCTGGCCTGCGACATGTCTAGCACATGACCCACTGTCAGTTGATGGTGGTGCAGCTGTGTGCTGTGCGTAATGATGGGCAGCACCACACGTCGCTGATTGATGAGTAGGCTGCCGCCACCGCCACCGCCACCACCAGCGCCGCCTCGTCGCAATTGCTGCACCTGCTCCAGATCGCTGCTCTCGGAGTCGGCCTCGAAATCGGTGAGCGTGGCTGCTGCGGCGGGTGAGTTGCTGTGACTGTGACTGAGGTGATTTGTGTTTTTGGATGGACGCCAGGCGCGTTTGGCAATCACAAAATCAACAACGTCTGTCTCGTCGTCGTCCTCCTCTTCTGGCTCCTCGTCGGCCTCGTCACCAGGCTGCGAGTTACGGCGGTGGAACAAAGTTTGGTTAGGCAAATTGCAGTTGCAGGCAGTTAAGGGGTCAAAGGTTCACGCAAACACACGCACACATAAATCAAAACAACAACGAATTTACATGCTGCTGCAGTGCTGCCAACTCGGGCGGATTGTTTTTTTTTTGGGTTTATATCGAATTGGTGACTTCTTTGGCCAGTTGCAAGAAACTTGAGTGCGTTTGCTTAATATTGTAATTGGCATATTGAGTGGGTGGTAAAGAGTTGACAGTAGCTTAGTAAAAGGCTGTGAACAGTGCTGCCAAATTCTGGCAAATCTTAGAATTGCCAGTGCTGGGTGGAATATCTTTTTTCACACCAGTTGAAAGGAATGTTCTTTGGCTTAAATATTCTCAAGGTTTCGGCTTTATTTGAGATTTGGAATATAGCTTTGAAGCTTAAAGTTGACTGTACTTTACTGTACTGTATTGCATCGAGAAATTCCTCAATTCTTATTTTTTGCTAATAAAATGATGGCTACTCTTGTCCGTAGCAAGAAGTTGTCGTGTCATTCAATTCAATTAGGAATTGGAACTATATGTAGTTGGTCAAAAAGTTGCTGTAAAAGGCTTGCATACAGTGCTGCCAACTCGGGCCAAAATACTAGAAATCGTTTCACAAACGAACCTTTAGTAGTTCTCGGACCGTTTGTAGTTCTCAAGTTTCTTGCATAAATTTCGACTGGGGATTTGGGTTGTGGGTTTCTTTTTAAGAGTTGACAAAACTGTTTTGGGCATGCAATATAGTGCTGCCAACTCGGGTATCTTGGGGGTCATATCGAAAAGGTGGCTTCATTAGCAAGTTCAAGTTCTTGGCTGGTTTTGTTCAAATTTTGAAGGAATAACAGGTCGAGGGTTAGGTTATTAGGCTCAAAGAAAAAGTTGACAATACTGTAGAAGGCATGCAGAATTCTAACTAGCAATAGCAATAACAACAACAGCTACATATAAGAACAACAACAAACAATACAAAGAGAACGCGCGCACAAATTTGGCATATATGCAAATGTATTGCATTTACTTTACCTTTTGGGTTGCGATACAATCGCGTGACTGATCCTCGGCCTGAACGTTGGCGGCAACAATCTCTGTGGCAGTTAGCTGACAACGTTGCAACAGCTCCGTCGAGTTGTGACTGGGCGCACAACCACTCTCGCACTCCAAGTCCAAATCGGAGGCAACCTCGTTCAGATCGTCCTCGGTGGCAGCGTCGCCGTCGCCTTCACCCTCGTAACCAAATGAATCGTCTTCGGTATCGTCGTCGTCATCCAAGCCGTTCTATAAGATAAGAAAGTAGAAGAGAAGTTTATGAATATGAGATACGAGTTACGAGTACGAGCAGTTAAATTATAATTATGTAAGCCTTTTTTATAATTTTTAATACGCTTAAAATCAACTTAATCCATTTACAGGGTATGTGGCAGCAGCTCGCATGTCTAATTGCAAGTAGTTTATTACTGTGGCAATATGAATTTCAGCTTTTAATTGGCCAACTTGATTTGGATCTGAGGAAAGCATAAATATTGCTCAACCGTTGGTCAGTCGCATTTTCACAATTTTCACACATTTCCAACACAATTTCCCATCACGTAACGAGCCGCGAGAGTTTCCTTCTTCACATATGTTATAATTGCTTTCAATTGCGACCGGGCCAAGAGCCAGACAAACAGACATAAAATAAAAAGAAAACACGACAAACGGACAAACAGTTAGCTGCCCAGACAGATGACAGATAATCCACCGAAAAAAAGAAGGTGGACCAAAACCAAGGCGCGCAGGTCTCATGTGGGTGGCAGTGGGTGGGTGGGGTACTCATCTCATGCGGGGGCAGACCTTGACGCCCCTTGAAACATGAAACATGAAAAGCTCAAGTGCTCAACATTTGGGAAAGCAACCGCATAGCAGGCAGCTTAACCTCAGTTGACCTTGGCGCACCCTATTACATTAATGCCAAAAAAGTTTTCTACTTGGCAGCTCATAAAAAATTTGGTAAAACTAATTATTAGCTCAGCCAATTGAACATTTATTAATTTTTGTTAACACCCGCCACATGTTCAACAAGTTTATTTCTTTGGCCTTTTGTGGATTTGCGTAATCTTGAGTGTAGTCTCTGCTGCCTGGGCCATAGGAAATTCGTGTTAACGAGGCCTTCCGAAGGTCAGGCAGCAATATAAAATGCTTTTCCTCTTAGAGTCAGCTATATTTGGAACTCTTGCCGCATCTAAACAAGAAAGAGCAGCAGAGCATAGAGAGTGGCAGAGTATAGTTGCCGAAGATGAAATACTCTTCCGCATTTTCCCACAACCAAAACTCGGCCAAAACTCAATCCATTCTAATAAGGTTTGGCTTTTTGATCATGGTTTGTGCTCTAGATCAAATTGGCATCGAAATCTGACATCAAGTCAATCGATTTTCACAAGGTTTGGCTTTTTGTTCATGCTGATACTGATCCAGAATAGATATACCCCATTGTGTTCTAGATTTCTTATTCTGTCTATAATATACCATCATTATATCCATTGAGAAAATATTTACAGGGCATATAGCGACATGATTTATAGAGTATTGGCAGCTTTCAGACATTTTCGAGGCGCCTTTTGATTAGTTTGTTTACAGATTTTCCTCCACAGAGGTTTTCCTTTGAAACGCACACAGCAGGTGTAATTGGGCCAGACGAACCAAGTCGGCACATCGGAAAATTTTAAATGGTTTTCAGATGGACATCAATTAAATGATAAACAAATATAAGAAATCAACTTGTAAACTCGGACAGCTGCCCAATTGGATAAACACTTTCTATAAATTAGCATAACACCCGCATTTTTTTGTAAGCTGCAGATCTTAACTAGATGGGCGTAGGGCTAATCCAATAAAAATCAATGACAAGCTAAAGTTAACAGTTAAACCTCTACTTCTTTTCTTCATCATCTTTGAGTTCAGTTCAACTTCTCTGTGTTGCTTCTCGCTGACTTGGAGTCGTTTGTTGCGCTGCTGCCCACAGTTTCTTGGTGCTACAATTTATGGACTTATTATGCAAAATGCATTTGCCAGGCCGAAGGCACGGATAAAATCAAAAGGTGGCAACGCCTGGTTGTTGTTGTTGTTGCTGGCGGTTGTTTCCTTTGTTGCCTCCGTCTGCCTTTTTGTTTTGTTTTTTTTTTTTTAGTTGGAAATTAAGTTCAAGTTTATCGCAACGCACTTCACGCGAAACGACGTCTAGGTGTATGGGGCGGGGCGTGGCACTGCAGTTGGACACGTGACGTTGCGTTGTCGTGTTGCCAGCTTAACACCTCATTTGCAGGCAACTTTGGAGCTGAGCTCTGGGCTCTTGCTAAACTCTATCATTAGGGGTTCGCGATAAGCATCTGCCACGTACAGTGAAGCCTAAACAACAACTACACGCAATCTCTCGCACTGTCACAATTCACATGTTCATTTCTCATTTCTGTTCTTGCACCTTCCAAAGAACTTTAGTTTGCTGCACGAAAAACAGCTCGAAATTTTGTTTGTGTACTCCAAAATCCGATTACTCGATAAGTCTTTGGGGTACTGTGAAATGCGTGTGTCTGGGAAAATGTACCAGAGTGTTTTTCCATGTTGTTTGCTTTGGCTACCGTTTTTTCTCCATACACATACATATTTTATGGTCTCTTTGTTGTCGAAATTATGAATTTCTCACACGCCAACATTTAATTATCACTAAACGCTTTCATGTCATCGATGTGATGGATACCTCTATTAACATATAAGTCTCCTCGGGGGCGTGTAATTGTCGTGCAATAAAATAAGACAAAAAAAAAAACAAACGTGAGCTGCAACTGGAAATTGTTTCTAGTATAAAGTGCATGGCATGTTTAAGAGGCAAACATAGGAAAATTGTAGCTGACGGAGCTCAAAAGGCATTTTATAAAAAAAAAAAACAACTCTAATACACTCTGAAAAAATTAAGTGTACATTAATGAGCGTCGGCATGCATTTAAAGAACAATTAAGATACTTATAAATGTGGCTGGAATTATTACAAGCTTTATTAGATTATATCTAAAGTAATTTCAAGCAGAACTAGTTTCTATTTTCAAATAAATATTTAGAAATATTTCGAGAGACAAAAAATACTTGCTCAAGTCCCTGTTTAAAAGATATAAGGGTATTTAAAGAAGCTCTTCATCTATCCCAAATATTAATAATATAGCATAATGAAACATTTGAGTTAATATAGATAGAACTCCTAAACCTACGCTCAAATGCAATTTTATATAAGCACACCTGTTTTTTTGCACAGTGTACAAACAGATTTTTAAATAGATTTCCTATGCGATATGAATTTTTCAAGGTTTTTAAGAGGTTTCACTGTAACTGGACAATGAGATTATGTGACATTTATAAATAAATGTTAGCTGTGTCCAGCTTACAATCAGATATTTTGCCACCACATAAATCTTTTATATCCGTACAGATCTGACCGAACGCTTCAGCAATTAAGTAATTACCGAGATTTGCAATGGAATTTAAATTTATTTAAAAGTGTCAATTGCAACAACGCCATGCAAATGTCTGCAAAGCGCGACAAAATTGCAGACATGAGCAGCAGCAGCCGTGACAACAGCAACAACAGCAATTGCCATGACAACAGCAAAAGCGTTGACAACCCGCAGCAACATGAAAACTTCCAAGTCATATGAAAGCAAAAGCAACAACAATAAAAAAAACTGGCAACATGCAAAGCTTTTTGCCCCACAACCTCGCTGCAAAGTATGCGGTGACAACAGCAGCACCCGCTGCAGCAACAATATTATTACTAGCAGCTGTTGTTGTTGTTGTTGTTGTTGTTGCTGCTGCTGCACAAAACATTTCCTGGTGCAGCAGCAACAGCAAAAGCAGCGACAGCAGCAACTGCAATGCCCACAATTTAGCGCAACTATTACAAATCGCATTAGACGCTAAATTTAGCAAAGTCTTAGTCAAAGCTGCGTTGGTCCCCGCAGCAACAACAGCAGCGCAGCAGCAGCAGCAACTGCAACAGCAACATTGTTAGAATTACGACAATATTTAAGCACAAAGTGCTGAGTAGATCTGAGGCCAGTTCTTGTCTAGCCTTTGTCATGTTGACAGCGCCCTTATTGGCAACATGTTGCTGCAACACGCAAGTGTGCGTGGGCGTGCTACACACACATGTTGCTGGCCCACGCACAGCAGCAATTGCTCATAATTTTGCTGGTTATTTATGTGTTGGGCTGCCGGCAACATTTGAATTTAAGGTGTTGCTATGATTAATGGCAAATGCAGAATATTTGTATGTCGCAGCCTGTGACAATTGCGGCACATAAAATAGATAACAAGCGAGACAGACAGACAGAGAGACAGTCGAACAATGCAAACAAAGGCCGCAATTTGACATTTGGCAAATGTCAATATGCCATAAATGCAGCACGGGAAATATCATTGCAGGAAATTTCAACAAAAAGCGAAGTGAGATGAATTAGCTGCGGGTTGCGAAATGATAAAATACCCTAGCTGGTGCTTATGTCTTTGCATGTGATGTAACGACTTTTTTAATGCTATAAACTGACTGATTGACGAATGAGTAAAACGATATTGATGAGTTTTTGACAAAATGTGAAGATCGGCCTGCAGCAGATAGACAGGTTCGAGCAAAGTTGACTTGAAATAGATTTAAATCTTCTCAGAATCGGCTGCTCTATTCAGAGTTGGCTTTTGACTGACATTTCTATAGCGACATATCCGTTGATTCTGCTCAGTATAATATGATTTAAATATATAATATATATGCGTATAGACTTTCTGAGACGACTTTCAGGTTAATTTGTGTGCTGTCAAGAGAAGTATCGGCTTAATCGTGGGGAACTGGGTAAAGTGTTGCATACCTTGCCAAAAGTCTATAATACCATCTGCCTAGTGTATAACGAGGCGCGCTTCAATCGAAGATGTCTCTGTCTGCGCCATTGTTTTTTTTGTGGTCTGTTGCATTACCCGCTGATTTATGTGTGTATGTATGTGTGTGTGTGTGTGTGTGTGGGGGTTAGTCTGCGCCACATGACGCGTTGACAACATCAAACACTGCAGCAACATGTTGCTGGTTGCAGTTGTTGTTGTTGCTGCTGCCGTGTTCCCATTGCTATGTGGCGGCATTTTGTTGTTTATATTTGGCTTCATTTCTCTCCTCAGCTGTGCATTGTGCATTGTAATTTCCCATTGATTACATTGTGGCCACATCTCGTTTGACTTGTGCTCGTCTTTCTTCCGTCCAGTTGCTCGATT